TCCTCTGTTTTAGGATTTGCTCGACTCCCACCCAAAAAAGAACCAAAAACCCCCTTTCTGAATGCTGACTGAGAAGTGGGCGGTGGCCCCAGCAGGTATGGATTAGACTCCAGACCCTTTGTGCGTACCCTCATGGATGGGTGCCACCTTCTTTTCTGGGGTCATGGTTGAAGGCCTGGGGATGGAGAAGGCAAAGGCAGAACCCATTGCCGCTTGATGGCCCGCCTCTAGCATCTTTACCACCTCTGATGGGCAGCAAATTTGGGTGAGCATTGTGTGTGGGGACACACAGATCTGCTGGACCAGGGGCAGCCATAAGGAGAGATCTCAGAGGCAGGCGAGCGAGGGGTTCGGCCCAGCCAAGCCAGGGAACATCAATGTGGGGCTGGGATGTGTGGCTTGGTAAGGGGGGTATCTTGGGGTCTCTGCATCTGCTGGATGTGAACGCCAGCACTGCCCCTTCCTGCCTTTATGTATCCATTTAGGATGTAGGGTGGGTTGCTGGGAGCCATGATGGACTCTGGAGCAGGAGTGCAGTCTGGTGGCAGTAAGATTAACTCAGACCAGGGTTTTCTAGGTTTGGGTGGAAAAGGGACCCTTGGACCCAGTAGCAGGCAGGCACCCAGGAGGAACCCAGCCAATATTTTGAGCTCACTGAGGCCAAACTCAAGCTTAAGTGTGGGTGACAATGGCTGAGAACAGGCTGGCCTGCATCCCTAACTCACGTCTCTGCTGTGTCTGTGCCTGGCATGTCCATGGCGTATGTGGGTTGGAGGAACTGGCATGTCCATGGCGTATGTGAGATGTTGGTGGGTCCCAGCTAGGGGAGGGGCTGGCCTGGTAGCTCAGTGCAGGAGGGCACAGATGGCCGCCTACGGTTCGGGGGTGGGATGTTCATGTCTATTCCCTGTTGCTTATATACCCTTCCCCCATGCAGTGGCGGGGGCACACTGCCCCATAGTTTGGCCTCCATGCCTCCTGGGTGTCCTTCCTTCTCATCAGGCACTGGCACCAGAGAAAGGGAAACCATTTTCCCAGCACCTCTGCGTGTCAGGCCCTGAATGAGAGCCTCCCTCCGTAGGGGTTGAGAGAGGTGGGCCGGACTGGAGTGAAGGGCCCACACGGTGGGGTTCCTGAGCCCAGGGCTTGGTGTGGATGTGCTGGTGGGGCCAGTAACCCGGGCAATCTCTGAACCTCAAATTTTAAATCTATAAGGTGGGGGTAATAAGCCTGGCTGCCAGGGCTGGGGTGGGGGATGAGCCAGGATGGGAAGGTGCCAGCCCAGAAAACTGAATGGGGGACCTGGTAGCAGAACTTCCTGGTGTTTTTTCAAAAATTGGTGAAATTCACGTTGCATGCGATTAAGCATTTGTAAATATACCATCCGGTAGTACTTGGTGCATTCATAGTGGTCAAACAACTAGCTTTCTAGTTTCAAGATTAAATTTTTATTTTAAGGAAAGACAAATGGAACTCGGGCAGTTGCTCAGCTTTTCTGACCCCAGGTTTTGTGACTATAAATAACAAGAATAACAATAATAGCTGACACGGCGTGGCACTTTGCGAAAGCATTTTACAAATGTGAACTCGATCTGCGCGCAAGCCGGAGGAGTGGCTGTTACTATATTGTCTGGCTCGCGCGGCCTGGGGAAACGAAGACTGCCCGAAGCCAGGAGCCGGTGGGCGCCGGAGCCCGGGCGTGCGTGGCCTCCCGGGGACCTCTGTCCCTGCCTCTGCTCCATTTTATCACCAGGACGATCCTTCAGCCCAGGCTGTAGCTAAATTAAATTTAAATTAATTAAAATTTAATAAAAGATGTGGGTCCTCAGTCACACCGGCCACATTTCAAGGGCTCAGTAGCTTCAGGTGGCGGGGGGCACGGCCGGCCCACCGTGTTGGGCCCGGGGCAGGCGGCGGGCGAGGCCCGTCTTCTCGGCCCTCGTGTCGGCTGGCAGGGCAACGGGACGCTCCTGCATGTGTCCTGCTGCCCTCCCGGGACTGTCCCCGTAGTGGGGTGTGGGGCCGATTGCTGGGTTGTGGGGCGCCCCCTGCCCCTTGCCCAGTGCTGTGACCTGGCCCTGACGGTTGTCTTCTCTGTGTCACGCGAAAGGCTGGTGAGAAGATCCCAGGAAGTACCAAGCTCAGGGCAAGGCCGTTAAGCACCCACAACACCCGGGGTGCCCTGTGCCCAGATGGTGAGCGTCTGCTGTGACTGTGACTAGTGTGAGTGATAGTGTCTGATTTTGGTTCACACCTGTTTTTTAGGTTTCAGTGTGCATTGGTTTTAGCATACTTACATGGGTGAGCAGGTGGCGTGAGGTCTCTGCTCACCGGGGAGGGAACTGGGATCAGGGTTGGGGGGCTACCCCTATTCTGGGCTGGGAAGGCGGGACACCCCCTTGGTGGAGGATTTCCATCAGCGTCTGGAGAAACCAGTGGGCTCTGGCCTTGACTGTCATTGCTCCCCTGAGCCCTAAGGGCCTGTTTCCTTCTTGATGTGGCCACCCAGGGGTCTCCAGGGCTGGGTGTGAGGAACAGGAGTGGGGTGTTTACCTAGATACTAAGAAAAGCACCAGGTACACTGATGGGTTCAGAGGGCAGTGTGGAGACTTGGGGTTGGGGCCAGCTGCGTGTCCTCACTCCACCAGCCAGGACAGCTTGGGGTGGCAAGTGGCTTCCTCTGGGGCTGTGCTTACCTTCTCTCCTGATGCTGATGACTCTGCTTCCTCCGTGAGGGTTAGGAGTCATGCTTGGTAGCCAGTCAGCCCAACGTTGACGCGCATCCTAGGTGCTGGGGTCCCCATCTCCAGGGGGGGAAGGCTGATGGTGGGGCAGACTGTCACAGGCTGAGATAGTGGCTGGGCTGCTTAGGCCTGGAGGGTACCTGCCCCTAGGTGGGAGTGAGCCAGGAGGACTCCAGAAGGTTAGGGGCTGGTTTTGGGGGCCAGGTGGGAGGGGAGGTAGGCGTCGGGGGGCCAGCGATGGCCAGTGATTGGAAGTTTATTGAATTTGTATCTGAGCTCTGTTGCTTGACTGCTTCAGGGGGTATAATTTGTGAGGGGTGGGGGGCAGTGAATATTTGTGCAGGTCGATGGGATGGTGTGTCCATTTTACAAGCTTGGGTCTTACAGGGGGCCAGGCCCCTCCAGCAAGGTGGGGGGAGGGAGTCTGGGTACCGTTGAGCCCCGGTGGTGGGTGGGGTGGCGGGTGGGGTGGGAGCCGTTGGTGGCATCCGGGCCCCAACGCCCGCCAGGCCGGGGTATGGCTGGGCGGGTTTCACAAGCCCGGGCAGGGGCAGGCCTGGGCCGCTGGGCTTCCGCGCGGCCCGAGGCAGGAAGAGCTGGTGGCTGATGTAAGCCCTTGCGCAAATCTCTGGCTGCCGGCTTCCGGAGCCTTCCACCCGCCCGCCAAGGAGGAAGCCAAGGGCCTGGCGGGGCCCAGAGGCCCTGCTGCCCCGGCCGGGGCCACATGGGTGGACTGGATGACCACCATGGCCCTGGGTCCCCAGGGCTTGGCACTGGAGTCCGGTGAGGCGGCTGGGGGGGCTGGAGTGTGGGGAGCTGGATACAGAATGGTTGTGATGGCGCATGTGGCTAGGAGGTGGCCTCTCATCGTTCTGCCTTCTGCTGACTCCACTCTGGGGACCAAGGTGGAGGCCCTGCCCCTCCTGGCCTCAGTTTACCGGAGCATATCCCAGAGTGCGCTGGGTAGATGTGTTGGGATCCTGTGGCCCTGGGAGGTGGTGAGTGAGCACCTGTGATATGTGGCCCTACATGCTGGGCTGATGGGGGCCCGGGGGTTGGGTTGGAGGGGTCTGAGCCCGCTGTGGACTGGACCAGGTCATGGGGTGCCTGCGCGGCCCACACCACCTGTGCGCCCTGCAGTCATTTAACTCCTGTGGGCTGTTGTAAACAGTGCCTCTCACAGGGACTTGGAGACGGTTACCTGGGGCCCTTAGCTCGGGCTGGCCAAGCTGCTCCTCGGGGTGCTTGGTGACCTGTGCTCAGTTCTGTCTGTCGGCCTCTGTCTGCTCCTAGGGGCGTTGTGGGATGATTGGAAATCACATGCAGACAGCTTGGTGCTTGGAAGGCTTTGATGAACCAGTGCTGCTGCTATTTGTTACTAACCTTACTGTTAAACAAGCATGTTTCGCTTCCCTGCAGTTCTCAAGGGAGGCACTGTCATTCCCATTTCGCTGATGAGCAAACTGAGGCCAAATAAGGGAATCTTGCCCAGGATTGGCACCCTCTTTCCCAGGAGGGTGGGAGTGTATGGATCTTGAGGGCAGTGCCCCTGGCTGGTGGAAGTGACGTCCTGGCCAAATGAGGCATGGCAGGGTTGGTGAGGTTTCCGCCTGGGCCCCACTCCATTGTGCCACCACCACACCCCCCTCTGAGAACCCTGGATGGGAGTTCTGCTCTCTGGAGGGATGACCCCCCGCTTCTCCGCCTAGGTAGGGGTTCCTTGAACCCTGTCGGCGTCCATGCTTTCTGTTCTTGTTCATGCACCAATCACTTGCTAATTCATTGCGGGTCCGGGAGAGGCTGCTGGCTGTGCATTCTGAGTTGCTGTTCCCTGGCTGTGGGCTCAGCCCCGTGTCAGCCTCAGTTTCCTTGTGTGTTACATGGGACAAGGCTGGGCCTGTCCAGGGCTGCTCAGGGAGGTCCTCAGGGAGGCCGTTTTCCGGCTCATGGGTGCCCTCCCTGGTTTGAGAGCTGGGTTTCAGCTCGTGATCCTCACTCTGTGCCTCCCCCCGCCTGAGCTCCCATCTGCAGGTGGGGTTGGCCGAGCAGTGGGGCTGGTGTACCAGATGTCAGGGAGTGAGGGTCTGCTGTGGTGGGCTCCCTGTGGCCGTTCCCCTGGGGTTTTGCAGCTGTCTTAAGCCCTGGGAGTGGTTGAGTGGATCCAGGCCGGGGCTGAGGCCACTCGGAGGTCTTGGGATGGTGCGCTGGGCAGCGGTGGCCTGGTGGCTGCCTGACAGCCCCCCCTTCTCTCTGCAGGCGAGGCCTTCTTGGGCAGCTTTGTGGCCAGCGGGATGGCTCCCTCAGCGTCGTCCCATGGGAGCCCGGTGCCCCTGCCCTCTGACCTCTCCTTCCGCTCCCCCACCCCCAGCAACCTGCCCATGGTGCAGCTATGGGCCGCCCATGCCCATGAAGGTAAGGAGCGTGCCAGGTGGGTGGGGCCAAGGGCGCTCTCCCCAGCATTTCTCAAGTCTGCCCCTTCCCCCTCACGTCCTTGGTCGCTCCTCCTTGACATGGCCCTGAGGCCTGACCCTGGTCATCCGACCTCCCTGCCATTCCTCAGCTGCCTTCCTCACATGCCGAGCTTCCTCTTGCCCATGCAGGGCTTTGCACGAGCTGCCCCTCTGCTTAAATCCCCTCACCCCACCCCACCCCACCGGCTGTCTCCTGTTCATCCTTAGGGCCCCACTCAGACACTCCCTCCCCCTGCCCTATTCCGCCTCTGCTTGTGACAATGAGTTTATCTGTGTTTGTTTAAGAAGCATCCTTTCCCCCCAGCGTGAGCTCTGACTGCAGGGCCGGGTTTGTTCTGCTTGATGCCGTCTCCCTGGTGCACAGCCGGCTCCTTACTAATTGTGGGGACATTGGGGCCAGGGGCCCTGGGCCTTGTTGTCATGGTTCTGTAGTGATGCCCATGAATGTAGGGGTCTGGGGTCTGGCCAGCCCTGAGCAAATCCAGGACCTCCCTGGAGCCTCAGTTTTCCCTCTGGAAACTGGAAGGGGTGGGCCTGGGGGACTCTGTGCTTGCCTCCCACCCCTGACTGTGATTTGGAAGCTGGGTGCCGACTCCTTCCTGCTGCTTCCTGGGTGTCCTGAGATGCTCCCGGACTCTGTGAGGTTGGGGTCCTGGGAGCATCACCATAGGCTGAGGGCTGTCCTCAGTCTATTGTCACCCCCTTCCTGTTCCGCCATCATCCCAAATTACGTGTGTCTGCACAGAGCGGGTGGTCTTGCCTCTGTCAGGTGAGGGTCTGGGGTCTTTGCTGACCTGGAGTGGTGGGCAAGCCTGTGCCAGTGGGGTCCTGTCTGAGGCTCCCACTTTAGTCAGCCAGGCAGGACTGAGGCCTGGAAGAGCAGAGGCTGCCCGGGTCAGTGACAGTAGGGATAGTGAGTAGGGGTAGCGATAGCAAACATACAGGTGCTCACTGCGTCAGCAGGCGCTGCGTCCTTGCCTGCTCAGAACAGTGTGGGGCAGGGGCTGTTATGCCCATTTTATAGATGAGAAGTAGAAGGGACCCGACGCCATGCGTTGTTTCAGTGCCTGAGTGGGGCCGTGTGCTGTCACCTGGCCTTTACTGTTTTGTGATTGTTGCTCATCTCATTATCAGGTGGCCCGGTGAGAAAAGGCATGGATCCATGTCGGGGTGACTGGTGGCATGGGGGGGACCGAGTCCCTCAGGGATTGTCAATGGGCCTGAGGTCCTAGAGGACCTGTAGCCCAGGCAGAGTGTCAGGACCCTCCCCTAGTCTCCCAGAGCCTGCCTCGGCCCTGGCGGATGGCTCTTGGGCTTCCGTGCCCCATGTGTCTTTCCAGCTGTCTGGTTTTCTTTATTTTCTGTGCCCCTGCAAGGCCCTGATTCTGGGCATCACTGTGGGGAGGGGGCACTTTTGGGGAGCTGGGAGGGGCTCTCAGGAGAAGGAATTTCATTCTGGCAGCATCCGCCTGGGATACCTGACAGTTGGAAGTGCTGGGTGCATCGAGGTTTGGGGAAGAGGCGAGACCTGCCCGGGGCTTCACAGGCGGGAAGGGACTTCTCGGCTCCTGCCCTGTGCCTAGGAATCCTGGTGAAGAAGCCTGCTCCAGAGGCTTCTCTGTTGTGTCCCTTGAATGGTCCTTTCTGACCTGAGTCTTCTCATCTGTAAAATGGGGATATTTAGAGTATTTCCCCCCTCACAGTTTTTTTTTTTAACCTTAAAATCAGAACAAAGCCAAAGCAGTGGATCGTTCAATGGCCTCATTGTCATGGTCATCATCACCTTCCATTGTGGGTCCATTCTGATCCGTCCTTGCTGTGGGATGTGTGAACCCAAGCCCCTGGTGGCGGCTTAGGACTGGAGGGAGGGAGGCCTGAAGTGCCAGGGTTGGAAGAGGCATGCTCACCCTGGGGGACATGCTTACCTGGTGCGCCCTGGACCAGGTGGCTGATAGCCAAAATTCTTGATTTCCCAGGAAAAGAAATGGTTGGAAGGGAGCTCGTTGTAGGAAGCAGGTGGTCCAGCCTGACTTTTCTTTTTTCTCTTCTAGGCTTTTCCCACCTGCCCAGCGGGTTGTACCCATCCTACCTCCACCTGAACCACCTGGAGTCCCCCAGCAGCGGGAGCCCCCTCCTCAGCCAGCTGGGCCAGCCCAGCATTTTCGATACCCAGAAAGGTCAGGAGAGGGGAGGGGGAGGAGACTGGGGGTGGGGGTACCTCTAGAGGGGCTTCTCTGGCACCCCTAGTACTACCTCAGTATTTCAGGCAGCCCATAGATCTGTTTTTCAAGACCCCTGACTAAGATTCTTTATGTGCCCTTGGCCCCTAAGAACCCCAACAGGCCGACTGGGCCCAAGCATCATCTAGTCTCCTGTTCCTTTTACCCTGCTCTCCTTCATGGTCCTGTTAGGTCCTCTTAAAACAAACTTGGCCTCTTCCCCTCTAACAGATAAGGAAACTGAGGCTTAGAAAGATTAGTAGGTGGTTAACTGAATTTTTTTTAAAAAAATTTATTTTGTTTTTATTTATGCATACAAGAGCTGGGGTGCAGGCCAGAGGTGGGGGGTGAGCGGATTCACCAGAGACAGAGTGGGAAGCAGAACAGGGAGATCCACTAAAACATACTGCTTGAAGGGAGCAGTTGGGGAGACAGGGAGCAGCAGGGGAGACAGTCTGCTGCGCCATGTGGGTCAGCTCCCTGGCGGAGGATCGAACTCCTGCCGCAGTGGCTGGTGATCGCTTGCTAGCCTGAGACTTTAACCCCTGCTCCACTAGGGAGGCCCCCCAAGTGAGTTTCAAATTCAGTTCTATCCAGATCCAGAGCTTGCCTTCCCCAGGGATGCATTGTGCCCCACGGTCCTCACCCTGGGGTTGCAGGTGCACTTTAGGGCTGCCCTCCTGCCCTGGGCCTGGCGCGGTGGCATCGCTCAGCCGCGCGCTTTCTTCTCCACAGACGGCTTCTACCTGCCCGCTCCGGGGGGGCCGGGCGCCCTGCACTCCCACGCGCCCTCCAGGACTCCAGGCGGCCACTCCTCAGGCGCCCCGCCCAAAAGCTCATCGCGGGAAGGCCCAGCCAAGGAGCGAGCAGGCCGCGGCGGGGAGCCGCCCCCCCTGTTCGGCAAGAAGGACCCTCGGGCCCGGGAAGAGGCGGCGGGCCCGCGGGGAGTGGTGGACCTCACGCAGGAGGCCCGCGCGGAGGGCCGCCAGGACCGCGGGCCCCCGCGCCTGGCCGACCGCCTGTCGCCGTTTCTGGCGGACGCGGGGCCCCTGCGGGCCCCGGGCATGCCCAGCACAGAGTCCAAGGGCAAAACCCCCTGCAGACGCCGGCCCTGAACCTCTGCAACGGCGGCGCCCCCGAGCCGGGCCCCGCCGAGCCGGGCCGCGGCCTCAAGGAGGTGGCGCGCCAGGAGGAGAGCGCGCGGCTGCGGCGCGCGGAGGCCCTGCTGCCCGGGCCGTGCCCCTGCCCCTCGCCGCTGCCGCCGCTGCCCCCGGGCAAGGGGCCGCCCGCGCTCCCCGCCGCCTCGGCCGGGGCTTTCGCCGCCCCGCAGCCGGCCGGCGTCTACACCATCTTCCCGGCGGCGGGCCGGGAGCCGGGGCGGGAGCACCGCGTGGTGGCGCCCACCTTCGTGCCTTCGGTGGAGGCCTTCGACGAGCGCCCGGGGCCCATCCAGATCGCGTCGCAGGCCCGAGATGCGCGCGCCCGGGAGCGCGAGGCGGGCAGGCCCGGCGTCCTGCAGGCGCCCCCTGGGTCCCCGCGGCCACCCCCGGACCGGCCCGAGGGGCTCCGCGAGAAGAACTCGGTGATCCGCTCGCTCAAAAGGCCGCAGCCCGCCGAGGCCCCGCCGGCAAGGGCGGCGCGCGCCTCCCCGGACCCCCGGGCCTACCTCCCCACCAAAGAGCTGCTCAAGCCCGAGGTGGAGCCCAGGCCGTGCGAGCGCGCGCCCCGCGGGCCTGCCGCCAGCTCCCAGCAGTCCGCCAAGCTCTTCGGCCTGGAGCCCGGGCGGCCCGGCCCTGAACACAAGTGGAAACCTTTTGAGCTGGGCAACTTCGCCACCACGCAGATGGCCGTGCTGGCCGCCCAGCACCACCACGCCAGCCGAGCCGAGGAGGAGGCAGCCGCGGTCTCCAAAAAGGCCTACCTGGACCCCGGGGGGGCTGTGCCCCGAGCCTCGGCTGCCTGCGCCCGACCTGGAGCAGACATACACCCTGCGGCCCACGGGCCCGGGGAGGCCTCGGCCATGCAGAGCCTCATCAAGTACAGTGGTAGCTTCACCCGGGAGGCTGTGGCCGTGCGTCCCGGTGGCTGCGGCAAGAAGAGCCCCTTTGGAGGCCTGGGCACCATGAAACCGGAGCCTGTCCCCACCGCCACCAGTGCCCCTCGGGCCCAGGCCCGGCTCCCACATCCTGCAGGCCCAGCAGCAGGCGGGGGCCGGCAACTGAAGCGGGACCCTGAGAGGCCTGAGAGCGCCAAGACCTTTGGACGCGAGGGTTCTGGTGCCCAGGGTGAGGCAGAGGTGCGGCACCCGCCTGTGGGCATTGCGGTGGCCGTGGCCCGGCAGAAGGACAGTGGTGGCAATGGCCGGCTGGGGCCTGGGCTGGCAGACCAGGAGCGCTCCCTGTCCCTGAGCACCGTCAAAGGTGGGTCCCACATCCTGCCCCTCGCTTCCCTCCCTCCCGCCTACCCCTCCACCTGCCTCCTTGCACCCTGGCTCCCTCCTTCCTGGTACGGTTTGCCCTTTATCTCACTCGTGGGTTGAGGCTGTTATTTAGTTGTTCCATTATGCACATAGAAAAATGCAGAAAAGGCAGAAAAGGGGAAAAAGGACCATTGTATTTTCCAGCACTCTGAAAGAACACTTTGCTATCTTTCCCTGAGCTCATTTCCCTCAGCGATTTGCTTCTACCTGAACGTACCTAGCACACGTCGGCACCCAGGCCCCTGTGTTTTCTCCACGTGGCGGTGTGGCTCGCTGTCTCTCACTATTGCAAACTTTACGAAGTTAATTTTTAAAACGCCTTTCCTATTCGGTGGAGAGCGCGCACCGTAGTTCAGTGAACCAGTCTCCTTATGGGCATTTTAGTTTCCTTCTCCGTGTTTTCGTGTTTGGGACTCTGAGTTGAATATTCTTGTGCATTGTGCTTCCGTGATATATATATTTTTTTCCTCTTACGTCCATATTTTATTTCATTTTTTTTCTTTATTTTTTTTCTTTTTATATTCCCCATACAATTGCGACCCCCTTATTTTGACCCCAATCCCTCCCCTCCCCGCCCCCACCCCCCCCATAGAGTGTCTCTGGTTCATAGTTGTTTGTTGATTTTGATTTTCACTTTCTTATAGTTATTCTTTTTCTTGGTGCCTTATTTCTCCGTGATATTTTGAGTCATTTTCTAAGAATAGGTTTCCAGGAATAGACTCCTTTCAAGCCTGTAATTCTGAGGGAGGTAATCTGCCTTACCTGCTCACTGTTCCCATGTCTGATGTGGGCTTGGAGCGTAGCAGGTATCCCATATATGAGCAAATGCTGGATTGTGCTAGAAACGTGAGTCTTACTGTTCTTAGTGGTCTCAGCGTTTTGAGCCTCGGTGATTTTTTTTAGGTAGTTACAGGTATTACATTTCTCTTTGCAACATATGCATCCTTTTCATTTCATTTTATTTTTATTTTAAAAAAATATTTATACATACAAGAACTGGGGTACAGGCCAGAGGTGCAGGGGGTGAGAGGATTCACCAGAGATAGTGGGGATCAGAACAGGCAGACTGACTGAAATACACTGCTGAGGGGGGCGGCAGGTGAGACAGGCGAGGTCTGCTTTGCCATGTGGGCCACCTCCGTGACCGGGGATCGACCTTGTGCTGCAGTGGCTGCAGATAGCTTCATAGTGCACCCCTTGCACCACCGGGAAGTCCCCTTTTCATTTTAGATTCCTCAGAATTGTGTTCTAATAGTATTTAAATATAAGTCTGTGACTCAGTTCGGTGGGGAAGGATGGTGCATTTTTAAAAATTACTAGTGTGATTGAGTAATTTTCCAGAACTTGGTTGATTGAATGCATTTCCCTTTGTCCCTGCATATTTTGCTGTTGGTCTCCTTCCTGGGATTGTGGAAAGTTGAAATTTGTGGCATTTTTCTGGACCTGGTCTGCACAGAAGAGAGAACTCACTGTTGAGTCAGTGTCCTGCCTGCAGCTGGGCCCTGACGCTGTCCCTGACTGCTTGGGTGGGTCTACTGTACGTGGTGTGAGGCTGGTGGGCTGTGGGCAGGGCCTGGAAGACCAGGGGCCCCTTGCTCTTGTGACGTCTCACCCGTGAGCCTTGGTGTCTTCCCCGACCCTCCCAGTGTGTCCGCAGCCCCCAGCTTGCTTCTCACACTTACAGCTGTGAGTTCCGGCTTGGCCCACATCTCTGGTCCCCACACAGCCCCCTTCCCTGCACCTCCCTGGCTTTCCTCCATCAGGCTACAGAGGCATCTCGGGTACATGTCTCCTGGGCCTCTATCCCTCCTTGGTCTTACCTCCTGTGCTCACCCAAGCTGACTCTTGGGCTTCATCCTGGGTCCACAGTGTGCACCCACTGCTGTGTTCTGTCACAGCTGCTTCCTGGAATCACTGTCTCAGGCCTGCTCTCCCAGCTGAGCCCAGCAAGGGACAGGACTGTCCCACTGTGCTTCCACTGTGGCTACAGAGGCTCTTCATCCAGTCTGGGTGAGTCAGAGAAGTGATGCTTAGGGAGTGTTTGTTGAATGACTGAGTCCCCCTGGCTAGGACAGTCTGTCCACTGCCCTGGGGGGCTGGCACGAGACCTGCTGTAGTCTGGGTGGAAGTAGTGGGCAGCAGCCCTTGCTTGGAGGTGACTGGCTTATGGTGGACAAACCCTGTTGCTCGGGCAGAGATTTGAGACAGTAGACCCCTCTGGAAGGCAGAAGATCTTGGGGTCCTTTCCCTGGAAGAATGCTCATGTGACATGGTGTGGTGAATGAGTGAGAATTTGTGAGTGTGTGAGAGGGTGTGCGTGTGTATGTGTTGTGTATTTGAGAGAGAAGGTGTGTTAGTGCCAGGAGGACGTGACAGGTTTGGAATGGGACATTAGGGAGTGAGCTGAAGCTCCCTTTCTCTGTTGCAGCTGACAGTTGAAGAGTAGAAACCTGGGTTCTTTGAAAAAATCCTATAAGAAGTGGTGGTTTTCCCAAATGCTGGAGTTAGGGTTGCCTTCAGCCCAGGGCATGGTCATGGACCCAGGTTTCCCAGTGTGCTCCCGTTTTCCTGCCTCTTCCTTTGGGCAGTGAACCATCAGCTTGTTTGTTACAGGGTTCAAATTGGAGTTCTGACCCTTGCAGTCACTTGACCTTGAACAAGAGGTCTGAGCCTTCAGGGCCCCCAGTTTCTATATTTGTTACATAGCACTTATGAGGGTGGCCTCATTCCTTGATGCCAGCTGGACTAACTAACGGGCACCTAGTGGTGCTTTATAAACAGACCTGCCTGCCTTTGCTCTGCTCACATGCAGGGCCCTGGTGTCTTACCACTTACGGCAATGCCCGTGAGCCCTACATGCTCCTTGGCATACTCAGGCCTCAGGACCTTTACACTTGCTGTTCCTGCTGCAGAGCTCTCTCTCCCTGTAAATGTCCACACGAGTCCATTCATTCATTCGTTTCCCATCTGTTTGTCGAACAGCTTTCTCCGAGCTAGCATTGTGTGGGAGAGGTAGACAGCCAGGAATGGGACTGTCGCGACAAGAGACAGGTGGTGAACGACACAACAGCAGCATGTTGTGCTCTGTGCTGTGAGGGGACAGGAAAGGGAGTACAGTGGAGAAGAGGTGGTCAGGAAGGGCTTCCTGGATGAGGCAGTGTTTGGGCTGAGCTCTGATGAGGGTAACTGAATATTGCTGAGAATGGCACTCTGGGTGGAGGGAACAGTGTGTGTGACCCTGAGGGTGGGGAGGACACATGGGGCTGGAGCGCAGAGAGTCAGGACAGCCGGGACACTGGGGAGGCCATGGGGCAGACTAGCCAGGACCAGCACCAGACCAGGGGTCTGGTTCTGTGGGGCTGGTGCTCTGCAGGAAGGTCAAGTATGAGCAAGGTAGGGTAGTGGAAGGCATGCCATGTTTCTTTACAGACCAGTGGAATTTGGAGGGCATGGTTTGGGGCTCTAGCCCACATGAGCCTGGGGTGGGAGTCCCCTTGGTGGTGACAGGGCAGTAGAGAGGTGTCTGGGGCCGGAGGGCTTCAGGCACTGGTCCCTTCAGACTCCAGGGCATGAGGGCCCTTGGGGTTTCAAGAACCTGGGAGGCCAGCTCCCCCCAGGGAAGAAAGTGTGGGCATACACTGATTCCCCAGCTCAGCTGCAGGTCTCTGGGGGCCCTCACACTCAGACTGTCTTGCTGGCCCCTGATTCCTGTGGGGTTCATGAGCAGAGCTGCCTGCAGTCCTGTGTGGAGGGGCAGATGGGCTCAGCATTTCCTTTGATAGGGTAGCCGCGTTGTGCTGGAGGTGAGGGGCCCCGGGCCTGGGTCTTACCTAGCTGGCGGCGGCTGTGCCCTCCCACTGCCAGCCTCTTCTTTCTACTTCCTTCACCTGCCCGGAGCAGTACGGGGACTTGGAGATGGCAAAAATGAAGAGTGTCTGCTCAGTGTCTTTGCTGACCGCCTCTGCATGAGGGGCCTTGGCAGGTAGCACCCTCCCTCGTGGTGCCACGCCAGGAGAACAGCCGAGCTCCCTTGGCCACACGGCCTCTGGCCTGACCCCGGATGCCCTCACTGGCTTTTCTCTGCTTAATGGCGCTTGGCACTTTCCTGCTGTCCCAGCCCACCAGAACTTTTAGAACTTCTAGGCCAACTCCCAGGCTTACCTTCCGCTGCCTCTGAGAGACCCCTTCCCCATGCGAGGCTGCTGCTGTCCCTGTGTGTTTGGCCTGTTGGGGACGGGGTTGGCATGGCTGTGCCCAACCCTGGGCTCCTCTCCTTTGTTCTGAGCCTGGTGGGTTCCCTTCTTGCAGGGAAAGGGAGCAACATGCCTGAGTCTGTGGGGCTCTGTTTGTAAGTTCCAGCTTTGGGGGGAAAGGAAGGGAGAAAGGAGGGGATTGACCTGATGGCAGCCTTCCAAGTGGGTCATGACCTGCACAGGCCAGGGGCCCAAGAGGCTTGTCTCCAGAGGAATAAGATCTGTGCAGGGGATCTGGGGGTCTCCCTGAGCACCGCTCCTGAGGCTCAGGTTAGGCAGAGTGACCTGTGGTGGGGTCCTGGGCTCAGTGCCTGCCTGCTGCCCATGGCAGCCTGGGGTGGGTGAGTTGGGGGCCACCGGCGCAGCCCACCCTCTTCCTGGCAGCCCAGGGCAGTCTGCCCGAGCGTTGTTAATCTGGCCTAAACCAGGTTCTCCTTTAAGAAAAGACTCAGCCCCTTGCTGTGTGGCCTCTGCTGCCCATGGCTGCTATCTCACGTGCCCACGCCCGCCTGGGGCTGCATGCATGCACCGGTGGTTCTGGCTGGTACAGAGAACACCCAGGAAGAGGGATTGGGCGGGGCTAGCAGAGGTGGCAGGGCCAAGACAGACAGATGGTGGGGGCTCGGTGGTCATGTGCCCACCTCCGCCGTTCCTCCTCCAGTAACGGGCCGTGTGCCAGGCTGGATTTGGGGAACTGCCTTCTCTGCTCCGGGAGTAGAGAACTCCTAGAAGGTACAGCTGGACCAGAATCAGTAGAGGGTGCCCGCTGGGCACTGGGCAGGACAGAAGCTGGTGACAGCTCCCCTGTCACCCACTCCCTCCATGTGGGCAGTGGGTAGTGGTCTTTGCTTTTCTGTCTCAGTTTTGAAAAGATGAGCCGCACGTCTGCAGCAGACAGAGCCCTGGCGGCCCCCAGTGTGGTGGCCGATTCCCATGACTTAGGCTGGGCTGTTTGTGAATCGTGGCTGCTTTTCCGGATTGTGGTTTCCCCTCCATCTTGATCCACCCCCAGCCTCTGCAACGTCCCTGCCCACTAGTCCTTGGTGGCCGCGGGTACCTGTGTATTACAGCCATTTCCTTGGGGTGTGCTGGGAGGACCTTTCTTGGCACAGAAGACATCAGGTGGGGTTTGGGGGGATGCAGGTGTATCTTAAGGGAAGACGTTCCAGGGTCCAGGACTTGGAGGACTTGTTGTGGACTTATAAGTGGGGCCTTGAATCAGGGTTCGCTTCCTACTCGTTCCCCTCAGGGCATGGACGAGCTGATGAGGACTGTGGGGATGAGAGGGCGAGGCACCGGGAGGACCGGCTGCTGGGAGCACGGCTGGACCGGGACCAGGAGAAGCTACTCAGGTGAGGGCTGGCATGCCTGGGGCTTGGGAATCTTGGAGCCCCTGGGGGTGAGGGCTGACTTGGGTGACCCAGGTGGACCTGCGTGACTGCTGTAGGCCATGGCGCTGAGAGGAGGAGCCGCCCTGACCCGGGCCAGGTGGCTCCCACAGCCCCTCTCCTGGAGTGTGGGACTCCCCCATCCTAGGGAAGGCCCCAGAGCCCCTTCTTTCTGAGCCTTGACCTTCACTTTTCCATATGCTGCTCTGGACAGCATATAGGCCACCTGGGCTATTGCCTACACCTCTGTCCCTCTTCTTCCAGAGAAAGTAAGGAGCTGGCTGACCTCGCCCGTCTGCACCCTAGCAGCTGTGCTGCCAATGGCCTGAACCCCAACCTTATGGTGACCGGGGGCCCAGCGCTGGCGGGTTCGGGTCGCTGGTCTGCTGACCCTGCTGCCCACCTGGCCACTCACCCCTGGCTTCCCCGCTCCGGCAGCACATCCATGTGGCTCACTGGCCACCCCTATGGTGAGTGTGGGGCGGGCAGCTTTCCCCGGACGGCAGAAGCGGCGGGTGGGGTGGCCGGTGCTTGCTGGAGCGCGGTGCTGGCGCCGGTGCAGGGCTGGGTGGAAGGAGCCTTGTGTGGGACTCCGCGCAAGCCCTGCTTCCTGGCCCACACTCTTGCTCCCTGGAGGGCCTCAGGGCAGTAGCCCCTTGCGGCTCCACTGCTGATTCTGTTTGGGGAGGGGCACGCGCCTGCAGTCAGCGGTCTTCAGCTCAGGAGGTGGGGAATGGGGCGTGGGCAGGGGAGGAGCCGGAGTGGCTGGGGGCGGGCGTACCTCGGACCCCAAACCTGACTCCGTCCTCGGTCTCCTAGGCCTGGGCCACCCCTCTCTGCACCAGGGCATGGCTCCTGCTTTCCCACCTGGCTTGGGGGGCTCCCTGCCATCAGCCTACCAGTTCGTCAGGGACCCCCAGTCGGGCCAGCTAGTGGTCATTCCCAGCGATCACCTGCCTCACTTTGGTAAGTGGTGGCCTGATGGTGGGGTCGGGCTGCCGTGCCCTCTCCTGGTGAGACCATCCTGAAAGCTAGGGACCTCCTGCTGGGGAGCATCTGCACGTCAGAACAGGGTGGAGGCAGATGGGGACTCCGAGAGGACCTTTGACATCCTTGGTTTCTATGTGTCCTAGCCTCAGAGGGCCTTGTTTTGATGAGCTCCTACCCGGAAAGTCCACACAGAGAGCCCAGCAGGGCTGCCATGATGGGCCCAGGTCCCCTGCCATCCTTTAGGGATCCACTGGCACAGTGGGAGGAGGAGTTAGGGTTCCCTCACTATCAGCATGTTACAGCTGCAAAGCTTGGGGGCATCCCTCCTGGGGCATGCACAGGGCCCACGCGCCTGGGCAGAGGGGAGGAGGACAGGCCTCTTGGCCCCTGGGAAGCGCCCAGGACCCTGCCAAGTGCAGCTCCCTTGTGAACCTCCCCATTCTGGGCCTCAGCTTCCCTACCTATAAAGTGGGGTGATGGGGTGTCAGGTGTGGTGTGGCCTCACTGTCTGTCTTGCGCCTAGCGGAGCTGATGGAACGGGCTGCCGTGCCGCCACTCTGGCCTGCCCTGTACCCACCAGGCCGCAGCCCCCTGCACCATGCCCAGCAGCTGCAGCTCTTCTCCCAGCAGCACTTTCTGCGCCAGCAGGAGTTCCTGTACCTGCAGCAGCAGGCAGCCCAGGCCCTGGAGCTGCAGAGGAGCGCCCAGCTGGTGGTGAGTCGGGGTAGGGGCCAGTGTGGGGGGAGAGAGACCACACAGTGCTCCCAGAGTCCCCGTGCATCGTGAAGCAGACCAGGCAACAAGCAGAACATCAGTGGCAGACAGACAGGGATGAAAACAAGAGTGGCCAGTGGTCAGGGGAGGTTTCCTGGAGGAGGTGGTCTCTGAGCAGAGACCTGAAGGAGTCAACTGAGCACGAGCCCTGCGGGCAAGGCGGGAGCAGTGTGAGCCAGGGGCAGAGAGAGATGTAGGTTAGCAGAGGTGGGGTGTAGGGAGCAGTAGGAGAACCGTGGCAGGAGCGGTGACCTTGTGGGTAGGGGTGCGTTGGAGTGAGCACTGAACAGGATCCCAGCGGGCCCCTGCTGTGCCTGAGAAAACTGCCACTGGGTAGAACCTCTTGGGTCCGCACTGGCCTCTTGGGTCGCCCAGTCCTACAAGACAGGAGATGCCAGGACTCTGTGTAGGTAGATTCTCTTAAGCCACAGTCCTCCTGCCTCCTGAGGGGCCTCTGGGACATGTGTTCTCAGCTCAGCCTCATCCTTCCCCATCATGCACCAGATGCCCCAGAGGCGTCACTGAGGCGGCACGTGCAGCAAGCCAGTGCCCTGGGTTTGAACTTGGGCTCTGTCATGCCTGACCGTGTGCCCTTGGGCTTTAAGTTTCCTTCTTTGGCAAATGAAGACACTAGTAATTTCTGTCATTGGGCAGTTGGTGAGATTTGATGGTCTTGAGTGACGGATACTTGGAGCATTTCTTCCTGGCGGTTTGTGTGCTGACTCCCTGTTCCCTGGGGACCACTGGCTGTCCTTTAGCCAGCTCCCTTCCCTGCCCTTAAGAGTCATCAAAGGCAGGAACAAGCTTCCCCTACCCTCTCTGATGTGGTTTGAACCCAAAATGTGTTAATGTAGGAAGGTACCATTAGTAGTGAGCTCCCTGTGAGGGTCGCTCCCCCAGAGCTGTGATGGGGCTGGGGTGGGGTGGCTTTTTCATCTTTAGGAGTCTCTGTGCTGGCCCCCTTCATCCTGACTGTGAGGGTCTCACTGGGGCCAGGGTCTGGATTGGAAGTCCCCTACAGCCCAGGGAGGGCTGGAGCTTTTGACCACCAAGAAGCCCCCTCCCTGCCCCCATCTGGAGTTCTACAAGGAACGCTGTGCTTGTTACACGCGTGCCACAATGGAATGTCCATCTCGGGCTGGGAGGGTGGGCAGCCTGCACCTGGACCCTGCCTGAGGGTCTCTGCAGGCTGGGGGCCTCTGGGGACTAGACAGCTGCTGGGTGATGGCTGCAGCCAGGCTGACCCTGCCTGCTGGTCCTCTCCCCAGCAGGAGCGGCTGAAGGCCCAGGAGCACCGAGCTGAGATGGAGGAGAAGGCCAGCAAGCGGGGCCTGGAGGCCACAAGCAAGGCTGGTTTGGCTGCTGCCGGCCCTGGACTTCTGCCTCGGAAGCCCCCTGGCCTGTCCACTGGCCCTGTGGGCGCCTATGGCAAGGCTGTGAGCCCCCCGCCATCTCCTCGAGCTTCCCCTGTGACTGCCCTGAAGGCCAAGGTCATCCAGAAGTTGGAGGATGTGACCAAGCCGCCCACCTATGCCTATCCTGCCACGCCTAGTTCCCATCCCTCCAGTCCGCCACCTGCCTCTCCACCACCCACCCCTGGAATTGCCCGCAAGGAGGAGGCACCTGAGAATGTTGTGGAGAAGAAGGAATTAGAGAAGGAAGCCCCCACCCCCTTCCAGGCCCTGTTCTCCGGTAAGTGGGTTGGTTGAGGTTCTTGGAGGCCAGGTGCTGCCTCGCCTCAGTTTTTCCCAATCTTCAGTCAGCTCTGGTTCTGGCTGCCAGTTCATTCATTCATTCATTCGTTCCTTCTGTTTCTGTGGAGCCCCTGCGGTGTTCTGGGCCTGCTGCCAGTCCCTGGAATGCTTGCGTGAGCAGGCAGCCAGACAAGGTCTGGCTCTACCCCTCCTCAGTAGTAGCATCAGAGAATGGATGTAACATTAGAACTTGTTCTCAGCGCTAAGGAAAATCAGGCCTGTAAAATACTCAGTACTCCTCCTGGCACGTTCTCGGTGCCATTTAGCAGTTCCAGGACACCTGCTCTGGGCGGGGCCCCTTACCCCGTGTGCTGCAAACACCCAGAGCTGGTCCTATGTGGAGCAGGTGGCCTGGTTGGGGTCTGAGGCTTGTGTGCCCCCCTGCCCATTGGCTGTTGAGTGTGAGCTTGTGCTGGGGAAGACGAGTTGAATTCAGTTTACTCCAGAATGCTGTATGATTTGGGGCAGTGCTAATGTTAAGTGCTGAGCATGTGCTGAGCCCCGGGGGGTGCACCATGTGTCTGTCTCTGCCCGCTCTGTTGGAGCCAGGGACACTGCAGAGAGTAACCACACACCATCCCTGCTCTCAGGAAAGTTACCTGGAAGGTAGGATTCAGAGTAAAAAGGAAGGGGGGCAGCAGTACATTACTGTTATTTTTTTGACCAGCTTGGGTATCCCATTTCTGATTTAGTGGGCCAGGCGGATTCTTTTGGGGTGGAGGCCAGAGATGGCACAGGCTGGGTGAAGACTGCTTGAGGTGATAGTATGTGTTTGCTTCTGGTCCAGCCTTGTGCTGGGGGCTGAGAGGGGAGGGGCTGGAGAAAGAGCTGACTGTGGTTTTGGCCCTTGGGACAGAATGGTGGTCTTTTCTTCCCTCTGGCGTCTGTCCCGGATGTTCAGGGAGCCACCCTGTAGAGGTCTTAGCTGCAGGCCAGCTGAGCGGAGGATGGCCATGTAGGTCTCTGTCCTGGCTGGTTGGTAGGTGTTGATGGGGACACAGGGGATCTCAGATTGGCTGGAGAGAGGGCCCTCACTGACTGCTATGTCCCTGGCAGATATCACCCCCCGGTACTCGTTTCAAGCCCTGCCGCCACACTATGGGAGACCGTACCCGTTCCTGCTGCAGCCCACAGCAGCTGCTGATGCCGATGGCCTGGCCCCTGATGTGCCGCTGCAGGCTGATGGACCTGAGCGCCTGGCGCTTTCTCCTGAAGACAAACCCCTCCGCTTGTCCCCCTCCAAAATCCCCGAGCCAGTGCGGGAGGGCCCAGATGAAGAGCCTCTGCCTGAACGGGAGGTGAAGGCGGAGGTGGAAGACATGGACGAAGGCCCTTCGGAGCTGCCTTCCCACGAGTCGCCACTGCCACTGCCTCCCGAGGAAGCTCTGGCAGCGCCAAGCCCCGTGGGCAGCTGTGGAGGTGGGCTGCTGGAGGCCCAGGCACTGAGCGCCAGCCAGAGGGGTACAGAACCCTCCGGGTGCTCGGACTTCGTTGAGGGACCTGAGGCACAGGTTGATTCTCCGGGCCGGACAGAATCCTGTGTGGTGGCCCCGGACCTAGGGGGGCAACTGACGCCGGAGACACTGGTTGAGGCTAAGGAGGAGCCCGTGGAGGTGCCCGTGGCTGTGCCTGTGCCCCTGCCTGAGGCTGTGCCTGAGGAAGGCCTGGCTCAGGCGACCCCGAGCGAGCCCCGGCCCAGCCTCGAAATGACAGACTGTGATGTGTCTGCCGAGGACGCGGAGTGTCTCAGCTTGGAGGCCCAGGAGGCCACACCTGTGCCCAGCAGCACCTGCTTCCTGGAAGACGCGGTCACTGACCAGTTCCTGCCTGGCCTGGAGGACCCGCTGGCTGGTATGAATGCTCTGGCGGCGGCTGCGGAGCTGCCCCAGGCCAGGCCTCTGTCCTCCCCGGGCACTGGAGCCCAAGCCCTGGAGAAGCTGGGGACTGCGCAGAGCCTGGCCCTGGAGCAGAGCTTCCTGCATGGCATCACCCTGCTGAGTGAGATTGCGGAGCTGGAGCTGGAGAAGAGGAGCCAGGAGGTGGGAGGTGAGCCAGGTGGACAAGTAGTTCTTCTAGGGGATTAAGAAAACATTTTTTGTAAGACTTCTCGAAGTCTGGAAAATCCCAGGGTGTGGTTTGTTCATGACCATTTTTTAAAAACTGTGGCAAAACACACATAACGTAAAAATTAACATCTTAATCGTTTGAGTATGCACTTTGGTGGTGTTATACATTCTTGGTGCCACAAATCTTTGAATTTTTTAGTCGTAAACTTGTCCCTGTTCTGTCAGTGGTATGTTTGGTAGTAGCAGGATTGTTTGGGTTACAATGGACTGAAAATTTCATTAGAGCTGGCTTAGGTCTCCTGCCACACTTCCCTGAACACACCTGATCTTGTCTGACTGGCTTAGGAAAAGGCAGGGGAAATTGATTGGTTCATGGAACCAAAGTCCAACAGAAATTAGGTAATAGTTTCCGGTATGGCTGAATCTAGGCACATTCAAGTCATCTGGGGTGTCTTTTCATCTGCATCCCCTTCTCTCTCTACTCTTTCCTTCTGTTTCACTTTCCTCTCTGTTGACTTCTTTCAAGACAGGCCTACTGTCTTGTGGGGGGTCACCAAGATGTCCTGGCCCATGGGCCTGCCTGGCACACTCCCCAAAAGAGGCCACTTCTTTTCCTGGTAGCTCTGGCACTGTCATTAGGGTTCATGCATTTTGTAGAAGCAAATCCTGTCGTCCAGGAGATGGCATGGACTGGGCCGATCATGCCAATCCCTTGATGGAGTGAGGGGGACGTGTCACCTTCAGGGAGTAGGCAAATGTGGTCTTCCAGAGGGAACAGGATGCCTTCAGCAGAAAGGGCTGTGAATTCTGAGCTGACACAAGAGCCCTGATGTTGAATGTAGAAAATGGAGGTGTCCCAGTCAGGGTGAGGATGGCCTGCAGGTCAGGCACCGCCTCACCACCTTGTGCTCACCCCAGAGCTGGTTGGGAGGAGAGCCTCCAAGGCAGCTGCAGAAGAGATCATAGTGGCCATTTCCAGTGTTACGGCGTATTTTTTCTAGAACTTTTTCACAAATACACATGTATTTCTAAAATTAAGTTCATTTTGTGAAGTGTTCTGCCATCTGCCTCTTTGATTTAGTATAGTCTTGATCAAACATTTCTCAAAGCTGTGTGTTTTCAAAATTTTTTTTTTCGAGGGACTGCCCAGTTTTCTGTCCAGTGGAGCCCTCGGCCTTCGGTGATCCAACCCTGCATCATCAAGCATTTCCGTTTGTCTTTTTACTCTTTTCTTGCTTTTAAAAATAATGTGATGATTACCTTTGAAAAAAAATCATCATCCACACCTCGGGGGTATATATTCCCAGGGTTAGAATTGCTAGGTTGAAGCAAGGCCACATTTTTAAGGCTTTTTCATTGCTGTGGGCAGTTGGCCCTGGGAACTTTGGCAGATGGCGCCCCCTTTCGAGAGATGCGGGGAGGGGGGGGTGAGAGCATTCACCAGAGCCAGAGCGGGGAGCAGAGCAGGCAGAAGGACCGAAGTACACTGCTGAGGGGAGCAGCGGGCGAGACAGGAGAGGTCTGCCGGGCCATGTGGGTCAGCTCCCTGGCTGGCCAGGAATGGAACTCTTGCTGCAGTGGCTGCGGATTGCTTCATAGTGCGGTGCTTAACCTCCTGTTAAGCACCAGGGAGGCCCCCAGGCATCTATTATTTTAAAGTTCATGCTTTTCTTCTCCCATTTCAGTAGTTTGGCACAAGATAATTTTCTTTTTCAGGAAAAAATGAAGACCCCCTTGATCTTACTGACTGGTGGCTGGTTTTCCTTGGGGGCTGCAAAGGGCCAGAGGGCACTGGGAAGGAGGGAGCTAAGGGCAGGTTGCCCAGTGTGGGGACTACAGCTCACCCTCATCCGTTTTTGCACTTTTGGCCCATTTTCTGTCTCTGACTTGTTTGGTATTAACAGGATTCTTTGGTTTGCAAAGGACAGAAATTCTCTGGCCCTATGTTCTGTCATTCAACAACAACTTAGTGCCTCCTCGTGCCCGGCGAGGCTGTCCATGGGCAGGTGATGACAGGTGGTGCGTGGGCACAGTGGGAGGGGACAGGGCCGAAGTGGAAAGAGTGTGCTTTTATGGGGATGGCCAGGGAAGCCCCTCTTGATAAGGAGACCTGAGGAAGGTGAGGGAGGAAGGTGCAAGGAACAACAGGTACAAGGACCGGGTTGGAGTAGGAAAGAGGAAGGAGGGGCAGAAGAGGGTGGCCAGGAAGTTGGAGGCATCAGGGCAGCAGACCTGGGGCCTTTGACTTGAAATGAAACCATTGGAAAGTGGTTTGGGGTTGGATGATAGAATCAGTTAATTAGGGTCATTTGGGGGCCGTGTGGAGGGGGGTGGGCAGGGCAAGGATCAAGGTGGGGTGCGGAGGGGCTGCAAGGTGAGAACCAGGCCAGTTCCAGTGGAAATTACAGTAGAGCCAGCAGAGCTCGCCCAGCTCAAATCCAATTTCTTACTAAGAGTTAGAAATCGCAACTGGATTTGCTGATTTCTGAGCTGGGGAAAACTGGGAGGAATGGGTTTGGGGTGAAGCTCAGCAGTGGGCCTGGGGTGTGTGGCACAGCTGGATCTGCCACTCAGGCTGGGTTGGGGCTGGAAAGTGCACTTGGAGGCACCACTTTGCAGGAGTGTGTGGCCCATGGGGAAAGGAGGTGCCTGGGGGAGGCTGCCTGTCCCTTCAGTGGCTGGTGGAATACTGAGCATCAGCCCCCAGTCTCCAGTCAGAGCCAGCGTGAATGGCCCCGGGTGGCACAGCAGCTCCCAGTCTCCTGGGCCCAATTAGAACTTCTCCCACGGCCCACGCCACTTCTGGGAGCTGCCAGCCCTACCGCTTCCTCCCACCACCACAATTGTGAGTGGACTGGGTGACCCTGGCGTGGCCCCATCCCTCCCCCTCTCCCTCCTGCTCCTCTGGGCCTTCTGCCTCTGTGACTGACACCTGGTTCCGTGGATTCTAGTGCTGATCTGGCTCCTGGTTCTGGGTCACCTCTGCACGGGTAAAGTCACAAGGCTGGTGTATTTGCTAGGGCTGTGCTCACCAATATCGCAGTTTGTGGGGCTTAAATGACAGAAATACATTGCTCCCCACGCTGGAGGCCGGCAGTCTGAGATCCTGGTGTTGGCAGGGCTGGTTTCTCTCTCCTTGGTGTGTAGCTGGCTGACTTCTGTGTGTCCTCGTGTGCTTGTCCCTGTGTGCAAGCTGCCCCTTGGGTGTCTCTTGCTGTCACTCCTCTTCTTACAAGGACACCAGTCATATGGGGCTAGGGCCTATTCGAATGACCTCACTTTACGTTGATTACATCTCTTAAGACACTCTTTCCAACCAGGTCACATTCTGAGGCGGTAGAGTTAGGACTGCAACTTGTGGATTTGTGGGGGGACACAATTCAGCCTCTAGCAGCTGAGTAGAGGTGCTCACTCAGGCTACCTTGTCAAGTTGTGAGAACGTTAGCAGCCTCCAGGTTTCTGGAGGCTGATGGTCACACTGTGGTCTCCTCCTGTCTCCCATCAACTAAGAACTTACGGCTCTGAGGAACCTGGAAGGGATGGGCCACACGACCTCAGTATAATACCGGCCCTTCTGAGCTGATGGGGCTCACCTCTTTGCAGCCTCAGTTTCCCTAAGAATGTAGAAGAGTAGAACCAGTATTTGCTGCTGCAGGGGCTGTGGTTGTCACAGCTTGAGGGGAGCACTACTGCCATCTAGTGGGAGAAGGGCGGATGCTACTAACACCCTACAACAGAGGACGAGCAGCCCAGTGTGAGCTGTGCCAAGGTTGAGAATCCCAGGCCCATGTGCTATTATTATTTGTTGATTTTATATAACTTTACACATTGATAGTAAAGAATATGTTTTTTGCCTCAAGTACATGCGGAGTATTCACAAAAATGGATCATGTATTAGATTCAAAGAAAACGTTGATTACAGAATTTAAACGCATGGTAATTTGGTGGAGATTACTGGGATACAGGCCCTCCTGTGCCACTGCTGAGGTTCTGAATTGGGACAGCCCTTCTTAAGAGCAGTTGGAATATTTATCAAGAAGATAAATGCGCACATCTTGATTACATTAATCGCCCTTGTAGTGAATCTTCACACGTCCCAGCTGGGTGCCTGTCTGTCCACTACAAGTTAAAAAAACACTTGGAGAAAGAGCCCAGTGCCATCAGTAGGGGATTATTTAGATAAGTTAAAACTCATTAATGCAAGAAGATTCTAGGCTGTTACTAGATTTGACTTTATAAAATAGCTGATATTCTAGAGTTTTTGACCTACACAAATGATGATCATTTTAAGGTTCAAGCTAATAATTTGACTGATACAGATCTTTGTAATGTGCTAATGTGAAAAGATGTTAAATAGGAAGAAAACAAAATATGCTGTGATGTGTTGACCATTTTTATAAAGGCATATCTGTATGTTATGTGTGTTTGAATATGCATAGATGTTTCTGGAACCATTTGTCAGTCACTATCAACTTGTCCAGGGGCCTTGTCAGGGGAACCCGTGTGTCAGGCAGGGAATGATTTTTTATTTCTTTGTACTTCTCTGCCTGGTTTGTGTGCATGTTATTCTTATAGTTTATAAAACCTAATTTTGGGCTTTTTTCCTGATAATGAATATTCCTCAGGGAAAATTTTTAAGTACAGAGAAGTCAGAAAAAGCCACACTCCTAGACACAGGCTCCTGTGATGATGGGTGCAGGCTTCTTTGTGTACCAGCAAACTTGTTGACGAACAGGACCAGGCTCTCCCCTGCTGTTGTCGCTCGACTCTGCTTCTTGCCTCGTGGAAGCCCGTGGCCCAGTCAGAACCCCAGGGGGCCATGCGGTCTAGGGCAGACACTGAGCTCCTTGCTGTCTGGGGTCTAAGAGAGGAGCACAGCTCACCTGCCTCCTGTGTGTAGGTGCGGAGAGGGGCCTGGTGGTGCGGCCCTCGCTGGAGAGCCTGCTGGCGGCCAGCAGCCACATGCTGAAGGAGGTACTGGACAGCCCCTTTGTGGATCCGCTCAAGAACCTGCGGCTTCCACGGGAGCTAAACCCCAATAAGAAGTACAGTTGGATGCAGAAGAAGGAGGAGCGGGTGAGGTGTTCTGAGCCCATTTTTCCAGCTTCTGGCCTGTGGGGTGAGGGTGGTAGCGGGGTGGTTGTCCAGAGGTGCCATCTGACTTGGATGTGGCTGGCTTTGGAGTTTGAAGGATCAGATGCGCATCCAGCTTCTGCTACCAGCTTGCTGTATGGTCCTGGGCAAGTGGTTTCCCCACCGTGGGTCTCAGTTTATCCAATTGATAATGTGTTAGGAGCACTTCCCATGGGTGGGCAGAGTGTGAGGGATCGGGAAGAGCAGACTTGGCTGTGCCCTTGCTGCCTGTGGCCTTTGGACATGCAGCGTGACCTGAGTCTCAGTCCGCAGCGATAAACTGATAGCCAGCACCACTTGAGACTGTCACATGCCAAAGTGGCCTTGACCCAGCCCTGCAAATCGGGTCTTCACTTTGCACAGGGTGGCGGCTAGTAGGTGGCAGAAATGGCATTCAGACTGGGCAAGCTCTTCACTGTGAAGTCTTGCCATCCTTGCCTGCGGGCCGGTGCCCAACAGGGGTGGGAGCTATTGGGTGCCTGCGTCCTCAACCTCCTGTCCCCCCAGATGTATGCCATGAAGTCCTCCTTGGAGAACATGGATGCCATGGAGCTGGACTTCCGGATGAGGCTGGCAGAGGTCCAGCGGCAGTACAAGGAGAAGCAGCGGGAGCTGGTGAAGCTGCAGAGGCGCCGCGATTCCGAGTGAGTGTGTGCCCTGGCTGCACCCTGGGCCCGACTGGCGGGCGACGTGGTCGTGGCAGGCGGTGCCCTAGTGGGCTCTCGCAGGCACTGGTGCTCCGTAGGTCGGCTGTGGCAGGCCGTCATAGGTGTGTGTGGACCCGAGTGACGTGTGCGTACCGTGTGTCCTTTCTCGGCGCCCCCCCACCCCCCAGGTTCACAGCCAAGCGTGTGATTCTTTTTAAGGGACAGGCGCGAGGAACCCCATAGAAGCTTGGCACGCAGAGGCCCTGGCAGGCCGAGGAAACGGACCCACGCCCTGAGCGCCCTGTCGCCCCCCCGCAAGAGAGGGAAGAGCCGCAACAGTAGCGGAAAGTAAGGCTGGCCCCTCGGTGGGTCGGGAACTGACAGAGCTTGGAGGGAGGAGCACGGGCCCAAGTGGTGCCCGTGACGGGGTGCTGGGGACTCGAGTCCCTCGGGCTCTGACCTGCCTGGCTCTGTAGCTCTTGCGCATAGTGCAGTGCCTGGGCTAGGAGGAGCGAGGAGTGAACAAACCGGAGTCAGAGGTCCCATGCTGTCACCAAGCACCTTGCCCATCCTCCTGCCGTGTCTGCTTTCCCCACAACTAGGGACTAACTCCTGCTCCTCGTCACGTACCTCTTTCCTCTGGAGGGCCCCTGAGCTGCCAGTCCCTCTGGGATGGGCTCTGACCTGTGCTGCTGCTTGGTTCCTTCTGTGCTGGACAGTGTCATTCCCATCTCCTGGACTGGCCTGTTGGCTCGTGGTGCCGGAGCCTGATCCTTGTAACCGGAGCCACCAACTTCATGTGCTCTTGGGACAGCTCCTTGGGTGGCAGTAGGCACATGTGTCACCCCTGGGAGTTTCCTGGAATGCTGGCTAGAATGAGCTTCTCCCAGCTGAGCATGGATAGGAAAGATGCTGTGGCTTTCCCTGGGTGTCAGGGAGGGGTACCAGCTGCATGAGGCCTATCAGGGGAAGGGGCTGGAGTGTCCCCAGCCTGGGGCACCTGGGCAGGCAAATGCCAGGAGAGGCAGTGGCTCAGCCACAGGTCTGCTCAGGAGGAGATCCTTGCAGGCCCCACATCATACCTTTAGCCTCCTTGGACATACCTGACCGAGGAGAGGAGGGAGAGAGGACAAGCCACTGTGTACCAGGCCCTGGAGAGCTGGGAAGCAGCTCCTGGAGAAGAGAGCAGAGGCTGAGGCCACCAGCATGGAGGCCCCTTGCTTAGGCGTGTGACCCTAGAGGTGGTTGTGCTTCCTGCTTTTGGGCTCGGTTCAACACACATTATGGCCTTGCGCCAGGCGTCGGCCTTCCGGAGCCTATTTCCTCATCTACCCCCCACCAAAACAAAACAAAACCAATACGTAGAAAAAATACCATTGTTTTTATGGCTAAAATATAAAACACTAACACAGTACAGTATGTGTAGTAAGCACAAAATAAAAATCAGCTGCTTTTGTCATTAGTTTAGTTTAAAGCAGGCAGGCGAAGCCTTGACCCGGGACCACTGCCTGCCTGTACTCCAGCGAGCACAGGACACCAGCCAGTGACTCCTCCTCCACATAAGCTCTGGACCAGAGTCATCCCTGCCATCCTGGTGGGTTTCCTTGGCATTTGTCACCCTTATTCTTGGCATGCTTTGGCAAAGCAGTATGTGACCATGCAGAGTTGTGTGTGTGAGTGTATGTGTGAAGGCGCACAAGAGAGAAAGAGGCCAGCTGAGAAGACTGACTTGGAATTTGTCTTTTTACATTAAACTCTCATTTTGCCTCAATTATAAATATCCCAGAATTCCAACACGAGGCCTCACAGGATCTGTGTCCCCGGGCTCGTCACTGTCATCACTGTGCTTCAGCATCAAGCGCCTACCCTTTCAGGGCCACGAGGGTGGACCCCCATCCCTTGGGGGTTGCTTGACCAGGGTGCTCACCTGTGGTGCATCTGGGTTTCAGGCTGAGCAGCAAGCCTCTGCTGACATCCGATGACTACGAGCTGGGAGGAGGGATGAGAAAGAGACACAAGGGGTCTGAGGAGGAACATGATGCCCTCGCTGGAACAGGCAAAGCTAGAGGGAGGAACCAGCCTTGGGAGGAACATGAAGCCTCCTCGGACTTCATGAGTCAGGTCAGTACCCCAGGTGTGCTGCACCTCAGGGTGCAGGGTTGGGGGGCATGTCAGAGTTCACATCCCCTTTGCAGGTCTGTTGGCCCTATTGTGCACAGGAACCATAGAAATGGTTGCCTTAGTGTCAGAGTGGCTTTTCTCCAATCTTTCTTACTATGCAGAGGGGGGAATTAAAGCCCCCAGGTCAGAAACTTAATCCAAGTAACACAGCTTCAGGAGGAACCCAGACTAAAAGTTATATCCCCTGTGTGAGTTTCGTGACCCTCTGCTGAAGCCAGGCAGACACTGCAAGTTCTTAACCAAATAATGCAATTACTCTGTTGTTTAACAGTATAATTATTTAATGAGCAGCTTCACCATTCTGTAGTTCTAAGAAACAAGGGCTTGATGTCATTGTAATTTCCTCTGTGAACTCTCTAGGGGTAATGGGGTGAGAGCCAACTTCTTGATTTTTCTTATTTCTGTAGAGCATAGAAACCATCCACTTAAGCCCTTATCTCTAAATACTAGCGTACTTTGTTGCCCCTCTGTGTAAAGTCCTATGCAAAGGGGCTGTTTTGGTTGACTTGCCTTCAGAGGGAAGTACTCCTGTAGGATCCAGGAGCAGGGATGAGCCAGTTTGTAGATCAGGATCCTTCATACTCTCAAATTGTGAAGGCTACTCTTGTTGTTTAAGATAGAAAATTTTTTAAAAGATTTGTTTATTTATGCAAACAAGAATCTGGGATACAGGCCAGCGGTGCTGGGGGTGAGAGGATTCACCAGAGACAGAGTGGGGAACAGAACAGGTAGATTGACTTGAAATACACTGCTGAGGGGAGCAGCGGGTGAGACAGGAGAGGTCTGTTGTGCCATGTGGGTAGCTTCCTCGCCGGGGATTGAACTCATGCTGCAGTGGCTGTGGATAGCTTTGTAGGTTGCCTCTTAACCCCTTGCACCACCAGGGAGGCCCAGACTCTTATTGTTTAAATCATACTATGCCAGCATTTTTTTTTTTTTAAAAAGATTTATTTATTTATTTATACAAGCACTGGGTACAGTCAGAAGCGCGGGAGGGTGAGAGAATTCACCAGAGCCAGAGCGGGGAGCAGAGCAGGCAGAAGGACCGAGGTACACTGCTGAGGGGAGCAGCGGGCGGCAGGAGAGGTCTGCGCGCCATGTGGGACCCTCCTCCGGTGGCCGGGGAGCAGCCGGGGATCGAACTGGCGCTGCAGAGGCTGCGGGCATCTTCGCAACCCAGCGCTCAACCACTGTGCCACCAGAGAGGCCCTATGCCAGCATTTTTCTCCTTATGTTTCCTGATTAGAGAAAAGAGAGATAAAATGTTCAAATGAAGGGACACATTTCACTTGAAGCCACACATTTCACTTCACTTCCAGAAATGACTACAGCTGACGAGAGATGTACAGGCAGGAATTTTATCTGTGAAATCTCTTATCTTCCTGTTCCTGGCATTCAGTGTATACATGAGGCTTTTTTCTTGGCAGCTTTGGCCCATTTGTTGGATAGACTGATGGGGCAGTCTTCATCAGCTGCTTTAGGTGGTTGAGATAAACAGATCAGCCTTGGTAGGATCTGGGTTTTTCATTTTGGTATCTCTCCTGCTCCCTTAACCCAGGGGCCTTCTGCTTGTTGGCAGCACTGCTCACTTAAAGCTCTTCCCTAGGAGACACCAGAAAGTGCCTGGAAGAGCCAGAGTGGAAATCCCATTGCTACTGCTAAGTGTAACCATAGCAACAGCTATTTAATAAGTGCTTCATGTGCCTCATCTCAGTTGATGGTCAGAAAAACAGGGTGATGCTCCTGCAATAATCCCCATTTCACAGAGTAGAACAGAGGCTAGGAGTTGTTGAGCAACTTGCCAGCAGCCACAGCAGCAGGGAGGACTGGAGTCCAGGTTTGTCAGAGCTGGAGCACTGAGAAGCACCATCCTCCTTTGCCAACCATCTTAACTGTGACTTCCTCACTTGTCTCTCCAGCTCAAGATTAAGAAGAAGAAGATGGCCAGTGACCAGGAGCAGCTGGCAAGCAAGTTGGACAAGGCCCTCTCCCTCACAAAGCAGGACAAGCTGAAGTCACCTTTCAAATTTTCGGACACTTCTGGGGGGAAATCAAAAACGAGCGGGGGCTGCGGCAGGTACTTGACGCCCTACGACAGCCTGCTGGGCAAGGACAGGAAGGCGCTGGCCAAAGGCCTCAGCCTGTCTCTGAAAACCTCCAGAGAAGGTAAACACAAAAGGGCCGCCAAAGTCAGGAAGATGGAGGTGGGCCTCAAGGCCAGAGGCCAGCCCAAGCCGGCCCACTCCCCGTTCGCCTCGGAAGTGAGCAGCTACTCCTACAGTAAGTAGCGGACGCCGAACCGCCTCCGGTAGCCTCTCTCCTCGCTCCTCGCTCCCGCCGGCCGCGGCTGCTTTCTGTCTGGACGCTCGGCCGGTCTCTCGCGTCGGCTGGGACTCCCGACCGGAAGTAGGGCCGTCTGGGGCGGAAGTGCGTGTGATGGGCGGGCGTTGTGCTGGAGAGGCGCCCGTGATTGGTGGACGCCGGAGTGATGGGCGGGTGGGGGAAGTCGGCGTGTCCCCTCATGCCTGTCACCTGCTTGTTTCTGGAAAGTCGTGCGGGTGGAGGGAGACTTGGCGCCACCGAGTTCATGGCTGCCTGCCGCTCTTGAGGGCCTTGGAGGTGGCCCGGCCTCCTCGCCCTCAGGCAGCTTGCGTTCTCTGGCCGAGGGCTAGTAAATCCGCGCGCGCGTGTGGGGTGGCACCGTGCCGGGCCCTGAGCTGAGGGCTGTCGGGGGTTACCTCGCTCTTTGGGACAACCTTCCTGTGCCCCGGTTTGTCCCCGAGTGTACAGTGAGGCCGCCGAGGTTGACTGAGGTCCCCGCGTTGAGGCCGGATGCTGTGAGGCTCAGCTGCCCACACCTGCCAGTCACCATGGACGGCCGCGCTGCCCAGGACCGTGGTGGCAGGTGGCTGCTGAGCCCGGGAGGTGCAGCAACCCGTGGGGCCGAGGGACTGGGTTTTATTTCACTAACTGGGGCTGCCGCCTTGGGGCTGCTTCCCTGGGGCTCAGAGTGAGGTGTTCCTGAGCCAGGCAGTCTTGGGCCACCCCACCAGCTCGCTGGCCTCTGGTGCCAGCCTCTGTCTGGAATGTAACATGTTCAGTAACTATCTGTGGGCAGAATATCTGATGCCCAGGATGGGTACTAAGTGCATGGCAGTTGTGGGGAGGCCAGGAGGGGCTTCTTGGCTCCTGGCACCTGTCAGCTGGGTTTGTGCTGGGAGTGCCCAGGTCCTTCCTGGAGTGGAGGACTTTTTCATTGGCGACTGCCTGGTTCTGTGTGTGTGCGGCTTTTGATTGGGTCTGCCTGGTCCACTGGGGGAGTTTGATTGTCATGTGCAGAAAATGGATACGTTTAGTGTGTAATAGTGTGTATTCTTAAGGGAATAAAATAAAGCTTTTGTGGATTTGCAGTTACCCTATCATCGCCTGCCTGTGGGCTCTCGTGAGCTCAAGCTCAAGAGGGTAAAGAGCTTGGATGTGGCATCTGGCATGAGATTAAGCTGCTGTTACTATTTTTTAAATGTGTTTTCAGTTGCCCTGGACTAGTGGGTTTCTGGGGCTGATGCTCAGCTGGACATGAGGCGAGCAGCTCCTTTGTGCCTTAAGGGCAGAGGCCAGCAGGATTCTATAGCTTGGTGGCCCTGCGGATGGCTGTGATCTGAATGGCACTGCCAGGTTCTTGGTCAAGCTGGCGCGAGTAGAGGGCGAGCTTTGGAGATTTGGAGTTTCCTCTGCACTTTGCATCTCTGCTCGATGTGGAATAATGAAGAGGGGTGAGGAGGATTGCTGTTCCTTTGATCTTTCAAGGGAGAGTGGCCGTGGAGGTGACCTGCTATTGTAAGAATCCCTCACCTGCAGGTAGATGTGGATGGGGTGGAACAAGGGGCCAGAGAGTAGCACGGTCCCTGAGGTCTTTGTGGGATCTCTGAGCTGGTGAATCCACCATAACAGGGGCATATACAAGGGAATGGTCCAATTGTCAGTCTAACTCCTGTGCCTTGTCTCAAACTCTATTCAGGTAAAATAAATGGGTTAAGATTGCAACCACGAAGTCAGAAGGCCCGTCCCCACTTAGGTGATGGCTATGATATGTCCCGAGTTTTTTTTTTTTTTTGTTAGAGGAGCCTGTCTGCAGTTGTAGGTAATTGAGAGTGCATAGTTACAGAGAGGTCAGGATGTTCGAGAGGTTGTGCTGGCAGGAGATGGGAAGAGCGATGTGTCCTCTTGCCTTTTCAGTGGGTTGTAGGGCTTGGGTTGCTTTCCTGGAGGGTTCCGGTGGGAAATCAAGTCACTCATTGTCCCTCATGGGCATCACTGGCCTGGGGCGTGGCCTTGGGAAAGGATAGGAAGGAGTGCAGGAGAGGGAGGGCTGTGACTAGGGGATAGGCTGGGGCCTGGGGGGGGGGATTGTCCTTGTCCTACTCAGAGTGGCCAGGCCATCCTGCAGTTGGGCTCCTGGTGAGAGTGGAAAGCAGAGATATTGGAGGTAGCGGCCAGATGACACCCTCCCAATACACACACACACACGCAGTTCCTCCGGGAAGTGGTGGGCGTTGCCAGAGCTATAGCTGCTTGTTAATGTTCTTCATATTCCAAGCGCATTTTCCAGGTGAAGGGATTAGTCTTTGGCCTTGGAGTCTGTTCTTCCATGAAATTCCATTCAATCCCATAGGTAAAATGGTTTAAAATGGTGGGGATCTGTTCAGAGTGGGGTTGTGAGGGGTCAGAGTTGTATGCACTTAACAGTTAACCCTCACCAGAACTGGGCAACTTCCTTGAGTAGTAAGGCTGGAGACTCAGGAAAACCAACAGCTGTGTGTTTCCTTGCAGTCACCATACCTGTTTCCACCCGCCTTGGTGCTGAGTGGGGATTTGGGAAGAAGTGTGTGTGATTGCCTTCGTGAGGTTGCACGCACCGGCCCAGCCTGCCACTCCAATCTGGCATTTGGGGAGAGAAGCGATTTCTTGATCAAGCTTTCCCCTCCTGGGCCTTCTCTTTTCCCAAATGGAACCCCTGGACTTGGATGAAGTCTGGAGGGATATACGACCTAGTGGTAACATTTGTGACCAGGAGAGAGCCTTCGAGGACTCCTGCCTCCCCCTAGGCCTGGAGAGGCAGCTGCTTGAGGTCTTTGTGCAGTGAGTGTTGCTGGTAGCAGATCGTCTAGAAAGGACTTGGGTCTTAGCCTGCAAAAGGTGAATTGGGTGATGCCTGTGGCTTGGAGGGTATGTGAGCACTCTAGGCGATGTGCTGACTGGAGTCACGGCCAGTGGGCACTGGAACTACTTTTTCTGTCCTGGCATATATCCGGTTGTTCTCCGAACCACTAGGAATAGCGAAAGACACCCGTCTCCTCCTCCCCCAGCTTTGTGACTTATCTTTATTAAAAACTACTTTGACTGCAGATACGGACTCAGAGGAAGATGAAGAATTCCTGAAGGACGAGTGGTCTGCCCAAGGCCCCTCCAGCTCCAAACTGACGTCCTCCCTCCTGTGTGGCATGGTGGCAAAGAACAGCAAGCCAGCTGGAGGCCCCAAGCTGACCAAGAGGGGCCTGGCGGCTGCCCGGACTCTGAAACCTAAGCCGGCCGCCAGCAGGAAGCAGCCATTTTGTTTGCTGCTCCAAGAGGTCGAGGCCCGTTCCTCCTTCAGTGATTCTTCGGAGGACTCGTTTGACCAAGGTTACTAGCTCCAAACACAAAATACCTTCCGTGTTTTATATAAAGCGAGAGAGTGAGTGAGAGCGCGAGAGAGCGAGAGCGAGAGCACTGGAGAGGATGGCCTCGGAAGGCAGCCATCTTGGTTCTTGGCAGCGTAGCCTGCTTTATCAGCCTAAGTCTTTTTATTTGTTTTTATTTGTACCTGTATCGTTGTGATAATATCATCGGCTAGCTCTTTTTGAGCTTTTTTATATGGACTGTTTTTAGTTTTCACCTTTCTCCACTCTCCCCCTCTGCGCCCACCCCATTCCTCGCCCCTCTGCGCCCCAGGCCCCAGGCCGGGGCTGGGTTCTCTCGGCAGGCCGACGGAGGCCTCCCGAGGGACAGCTTGTAAATGGAATTCTGTCGTGTGGGCGTGTGACTTGATGTTTGTACTGCGATTTTGGTAATACCAAGCTTTATTAAACATATCGAGTTCATTTTTAACTAAACCCGTGTGCCTCGTCTCTCTTGCTGTGTCCTTACCAGCGGTCAGGGTCCCGCTCCCTTTGTTTTGCTCCTTCTCTCCCCTTTCCCCTCTCCCGCCTCGGAAGGGGCAGAGATGGAATGATGCAGTCTGCCGCTTTTCTCTATTATTCAAATATCCCTGGTAGCGATTGGCATGCGTTTCATTTTCAGGTTTAAAGTCAACTGCTTTCACCTCCAGCATCATCCTTTTTTTTTTTTTTTTTAAGCTGCTTGTTTGTCTTTTATTTTCTTAAAGCTCTGTTTTTAAGCAACGGTGGTTAAAAGAAATTTGCAAACACTTGTTTTCTAACACACATTTCTGTCCAAAGGGCGTGTAGACAGCAGGGCCCAGAGCGTTTGCTGTGCCCCCCACGGTGGGCGGCAGCCCGAGCACTTCGGCTTTATCGCCGCGTGGAGGGTCACAGGCTGCTTTGCTTTCAGCTCAGTCCAGGGCCTCACTCGCCTCCCTTAGGAAAAGGGGGTTGTGTCCAGGGTTCCCTGAAATAACCCGGCTCAGGTATCTCTAATGTCAGAACTTCTGGGATTAGAGATGCCAGGCCTTCCAGTCAGGGACATCCCAAGGAGGGGTAGCCAGTGGAATGTTTCCTTGCCCTGGTTTAGGGTTTGCTTTGGGGGGACTTCTTTGAGACCCCAGAGCCTGGGTAGCAGAGCACAGTGTCAGAGCCTCGACCCCGATGGTCCCTGAGTAAGGCCCGAAGTCGGGATCAGAACGCAGCCCTCGGTTCCAGTGTTCTAGGCCTGGACTGCCTTCTGTCTATGCCTTGCCATCTGGTTGACCCAGATTCCTTTTGGGTCCCCAGGAGATGGTGCAGCAGGGAACCAGGTGCCCACGGGGCTCACTGTCTCTTGGGCTGCTGCCATACCTGAGCAAATGTGCTCTGGGTCACAGAGAGGCCACTGACTTGCCAGCCAACCTGTATCTGATGCCTCCCCCAGCCCAGACCTCCATGGAGGTTTGACTGGTTCACCATCGCTACACCCCTCCCCTGACTGGACCCCTGTGCCTCCTCCTACACACACTCTGTCCCTCTTTCCTTAAAGCCAGGGTTTTAACCCGAGGTTTTGAGTCCTCCCACCCCGACTCAGTGCCCAGATTGCTTTAGCAAGGGGCCAGCTGCTCAGAGTGGGCAGAGGGAGCCAGGGGCCTTCAGAACAGGGCTGGCTGCAGCAGGGTCCAGAGTCCAGATAGGGGGATTGGAGGGGTGATGGGTGGGGCTCCACTGCACGCAGACCATTGGTCAGGTCTCAAAAGGGATATTTGGGTAATAGGGCTTTACTGACATCTGATACTAAACACCTAATTGGCTTGGCTTCTGGTATGTCTGCTTTCTCCTCCCAGCAGCTTGACCATACCTTCACCCTTGACCCCTACCCATGATGCTTTGAATGTCTGTTTTGGTCTCTTGCATTTGCTCTCACGCTGCACTCTGGACGCAAAGCGAAGGCTGGGAGTAGGGCAGACGGCGCAGCGGGTCACTGAGCTTGGGTCGAGCCTGGCTCGTTGCTCCGTAGGTAGGCAAACCTTTTCTCTCTGTCTCTCTGCACCTCCCTCCTCGGGGTTTGCCCCCATCGGCTATGGCAGCAGCAATCGCTTTGGCATTTACCGATTGGGTTTTGGAAGACCAAACTGAGTTACAACAGCCAACCCCACACACTGAGCCAAGAGTCTTTTTTTAAATAAAAACGTTTTCCTGCATTTCCTTGGGTTTCTTTGTTGGCTCTTTTCTTCCCCCACCCTTGGCAAGCTCTGTGGCCTCAGGTGTAGACAACTCCAGAAAGACTTTCTTGGTCCTGAGACCCACTCTGTGCCCTGCCCTCCCTGCCCTGCAGATCCCGGCCTGAGCGTACCAGCCACCACAAAGGCAGCAGGGCCGGCCGGTCAGATTGGAGTGGGACGTGGGGAGGGTCCTGGGGGCTGCATCCTGTTTTTAGCTTTTGCCTTCCCCTCTTCTGCCTCAGGGTGCTGGGACTGGGCTGCTGCTGGCTTTCTGGGATCTGAAGTGGACCTTCCAGGCCTCCAGAAACCCAGCGTCAGCCCTCCCCTGGTAGACTGCCAGTGGAGAACGTCCCCGGGTGGAGATCTGGGGCGTTCTGGAGTCTCCACACCTGAGCAGCCCAGGAAGGCTGTCTCTCGGAGGGAAAGCTGGCCACACGTCCAAGCCCGTGCCCCCACCCCAGCCAGCCCCCTTCCCCTGCTCACCCCCCTGCTCCAATTGGCCAACCCCAGGGAGGCCTGATGTGGGGGACCCAGGTGCTGTCAAAAGTCTGCCTACACTTAGCCTGCTTTGCCGCGGTGGCCCGCTGGGGCGGAGACAGAACCATGTGACGTCCGCAATGTGAATGGTCGCAAGTGTGCACTGCCTGCCTGCTGCCTGCCTGCCCCGCTGCCTCTCCATCCGCCTCATCCATCACTCCGGAGCGGGTCTCACGCCTAACAAACCTCCTCTCTCTCTGCCTCCTTCCTCTCTCGTCTCCCTGAGGGGTTCCTCAAGCTCACTGCTGCCTCTCACTAAGGGGTAACTCAGCAGAAACCCGGGCTCCCTCTGATAAGTGGGTAGGCAAAGAACCTGTGCCCTCGTTGGCACCCTGGGCTCACCACTTTTGGACTAGTTGCCGTCAAGTAAGCAGGTGACTTGGGGCAGTGGCAGGAGAATGTGGAGTTGGCCCCTGTTCATTCACCTCTGGGCTGCCCAGGCTGCGCCTGCTCCCAGAAGGAGCCGGCTGGAGAGATGGCTCACCTCCTCTCCCCGCTCCGGCCTCAGCCTTGCCCGAGCTGCCCGGAGCGCCTTCATCCTCCCGGCGCGCAGGTCTTCGGGCCGTCCTCACTGCCCAGGCCCCGGTCTCACGGGCACCCCCGGCAAATGTCCCTGGCTGCTGCTTGGCCACGGCATCTGATGGGCAGAGTTGGCTGCTGCACGCTTTCCCGCCCGCCGCCCCAGCGGGGTAGCGGGATGTCTCCCCGGGAAGGTCAGAAGCAAGCTTGTGCCGAGAGACCGCCTCTGCGATGGCGGGAGGGCTTGGTTCACGCGCAGGGAGTGTTTTGCTCCCTGCCAGCCTTGCTGCTTGCCCCACCTTTGTTGCAGCGGCCCGAGCTGAGCTCAGGACTGCAGCCCCCGGGCTGGCAGAGCCAGTTGCTGGGGACAGCTGCATCTCAACCAGAGAGCCAGGCTGGGGTAGGGGGTTCTTTAGACTTCTCTTTTCACTAGACTGGGCACAGGACAGCCAGCCGGCCCAGAGTAGGAGTCCTGCCCTGCCGCCTGCGCCCCTGACCTGGCTGGCCAGCATCTTCCCGGTGCAGAGTGGGCTGAGCGGCCTGCCTGCTCTTTCCAGCTTCCCGTGGGGGAAGCAACGCATGACTCCCTTGGCAGCGGGGACCGTGTTTGTATTTGTAGGACGGGATGACTGTTTCTGGGTGATCCCCTTTGCCTGCACGTCTTCCTACGGAGGTGTGATACTGCTTGGGTCCTCCTGGTAGCTGGGAGGGTCACCCTGAGCTGAAGATGAGAAAATAGGGACCTAAGACTTGCTGCAGGCCTCTCACAAGGAGGGCATTGCTGGGCGTCAGCGTCAGCCCTCAGAGCCTGCTTCGGGCTTCCACATAGGCGCCTCCCACCCCCGGGGAAAACCAAACTCCGCTTTCTCCTGCCACCAGCCCTCAGCCTCCGGCGACAAAGCTGCCCCTGGTGCCTGTGCCCAGAGCCCCGTACTGAGCCCCCAGGACCCTCCTCTCCCCTTCCTCACCTCTTCTCTCCCGCCTCCTTCCTCAGCCTTCATGTTGTACGTCGGGGCGTGTGTGCGCGTGAGACCATGGAGAGAGCCGTCTCCAGTCCTTGTCTGTGTGTCTGTCCTCCCCACAGCACAGGTGCATGTCGGTGTCCCCCTGACCGAACCCACTCTGACCCCCGCTGCCCACCTCTGGGCCATCCAGGATGCCCACTACTTGGGCTCGGTTTGATGGGGACGGGACGCTGGGCCGGGGTGAGGGGTTTAGTGGGCTGGTTCTGGATCCACCCCCAGCTGGTGAGGCGTGAGGAGTTAACGAGCTGTGGCCCCTTGGCTGGCGCTCTGGCCGCGCAGCCGGTCCATGCTGGGGATGGTGGGGGCGGAACACGCCCAGACCAAGACTCTGACTTGCCCCCTGTTTTCTGCACGCCAGATGAGAGCTCCGAGGAGGACGAGGAGGATGAGCTTGAGGAGGACCAGGACGAGGCTGCTGGCGGCTATAGGCCGGGCGCCCGGGAGCGGGCCCTGTCGCCAGGCCTGGAGGAGAGCGGGCTGGGCCTCCTGGCCCGCTTTGCAGCCAGTGCCCTCCCCAGCCCCACAGTGGGGCCGTCCCTGTCTGTGGTGCAGCTGGAGGCCAAGCAGAAGGCCCGGAAAAAGGAGGAGCGGCAGAGCCTGATGGGTAAGTACCAGCAGGTGGGCTGCTGGGGGTGGATATCCCTGCCTCACCCTGCCAAGGAGGAAACTGAGGCTCAGAGACAGGTTGGAGCAGAGCTGGGGGCTGCTAGGGCCCAGCCTTACGGCCAGCCCCATTTTGAGCAGGTGGTGCTGGTGATATGGGCTCCAACCTGACTTGTTCCTTTCAACTACTGTCTGAAGTGTCTCCAAAGCTATGCAGAGTGACCTTGATGTAGCCTGACCCGCCTCTCCCTGCAGTTGGCCCTGTCTGGCAGTTCTGGGAAGCAGAGGCCTCAGACCTGCATCCTGGGGCCTTTGGGAGCCCAGGGGAAGCCCCTGACCCTGCCTTTAGGGGGTTCAGGTTGGCAACACCCAGGCTGAACAATGAGAGAAGTGAGAGCCAGCTAAGCATGGGGAGAAGAAGCAGAGGTGTGGCTTAAGGGGCAGGTCACACAGGTTGGAGGAAGTGGCAACTCTCCTTATTTGGGCCAGTTGAGGGGCCTCTATTCAGTGAGATTGATGTCCAGGTGGGGCAGATTCGACCTGGGGCTGGGCCTTGGAGGAGGGCATCGGGCTGTCATCCCATTAGCCAGGCTTATGATCCCACTGTCAGATTGGCACTACTCGACAAGAAGCTTGGCCTTGTGCTGGCCACACTTTCTTCTGCTTCCCCTTGGGCCTCTGTCCTCCGCTTGCATCAGGGCCCAGCCCATCTGCACCTGGGACTGGTTCTGGGTGTGTGCTGGTGTGAACTAACCTGCATTCAGCAGGGACCAGGTCCTATGCTTGGCTGCTTGGTCTCCCTGCGGAATTCCTAGTGTCCTTTTCTGAGTCTCCTGTACACAGAGGGCCCTCCCTCCCTCCAGGGTTCCCCTGGCTGCTCCTGGCTCCACTCTGCAGGCTCCAGGAGCAAAGTCCACACCACCTGCTGGGACTCCATCTCTGGGTCAGCAGGCCCCTGCCTGCCCCTCCCTCTCCAGTCTACCTCCCTCTCACCCTCGGGTCCTACCGTTGTTCCATGTGGCCCCAGCTTCTGGCTGGCCTCCCCCCTGCTCTCAGGCATTCAGTGCTCAGATGCAGCTGGAGGGCTTTCTCTCAAAGCTCAGACTTGACCAAGCCTCTCTCCACAGCCCTCTGTTCCACCTGTTTGATTGGCCTTGGTATCATCCTGTCCCCAACCCTTGAAGGAACCAGCTGTCCTAGGACCTTCAGGCTTTTGCCCTTGCTCCAAACATCCTTTTCATCCAAATTGTCAAATGTGTTGGCAGAGTTTAGCTTCTTCCCTTGTCATACTTCAGGGTCTGAAGGCTGTGGGGATGTTTCCTTTTCACTGCCAGGACAGATAATTTGCTTCTTTTCTCTTTATTTCTTGATCAGTCTGTCTAGAAGTTAGCACTTCCATCGATTTCTTCTCTTTGTTAAGAGTATTTTGTTAAGAGTATTTCTTCTCATATGATAAGAGTATTTTGATTTCTTCCTTCTGTTTGCTCCGGGTATAATTTGCAACCAATTCCTGTTTCTTAAGGTACAAGTTTAGGTCATTGATTTGGGACCTTCTTTTCTTCTGGAGACATTTAAAGCTGTAAGCCTCTGCTAAACACACTGCTTGAGTTGCATCACACCTTTTGAGATGTTGTCTTATTTCCATTTTACTCAATAAAAAAAAATTTAAGTTTTATTGTGATTCTTTTATCCAGTGATTCTTTAGGAGAATGTTATTTGTTGTTCAGATATTGGTGGGGGTTGCCTAGTCATCTTATTGTTACTGATTTCCAGGTTAATTCCATCTTGGCCAGAGAACATACTCTGTGTACTTGTAATCTTTTCAAAGTTTTAAAATTTAAGGGTCTATAGTCTTTCCTAGTAAATGTTCTCTGTGCCCTTCAAGAATATGCATTCTGATATTGTTTGATACCGTAGTCTCTAAATCAGTCAGTTCTATCAGTCAAGTCAATGTGGTAGGCAGTGTTAAGGTCTGGTGGTATATACTCTGCTAGTTTTTAGTCTAGATCTATGAGAGATGGGTGTTAAAATTTGCAAAATTCTCTTTCCCCCCTTTTAATTTTTCTGTCAATGTTTGCTTCATGTATTTGATGCTCTATTATTGGGCACATACTTAATGATTGTTACATTTTCCTCATGAATTGAACCTTTTATTTTGAAGTGTTCATTTCTATTTATAATGCATTTCTTTTTGAAATCTATTTTATCTGGAATTAAATAATCACTCCAGCTTTCTTATGTGTACTGTTTGTAAGACATTGACATGTATTTTCCCTATCCATTTACTCTCATTTTACTTTTGTCTTCATATTTAAAGTGAGTCTGTTGTAGTCAGCTTATAATTGGGTACTTACTTTTTTATCCCTCTTGAAATCTGTCTTTTCATTGGAGAGTTTAGTCTTTTAATAGTTAATGTAATTGTTGATATGTTTGGGTTTGAAGTTCCCTTTTTTTAAAAAAAAATAATAACAGCTTTGTTGAGATATAATTCACATAGTATAAAGTTCACTTTTTTAAAGTGTATATAATTTAATGGATTTTGCTGTATTCACAGAGTTGTGCAACCATCACCGCTATTTAATGTCAGAACATTCTTAACATCTGTAAAATTAACCACATACCCATTCCCCTCAACCCCTAGATAACCTCTGTTTTCTGTCTGTGGATTTTCCTATTTTGGACTTTTCATATAAACGAAATCATGCAGTGTGTGATCTTTTGTGTTTGCTTCTTTGATTTAACATAATTGTTTGAAGGTTCATCTGTGTTGCAGTACATATCAGTGCTTTTTTTTTTTTTTGGATAGACTTTATTTCTTAGAGGTTCGTGGCAAAATTGACAGGAAACCACAGAGATTTCTCATATAACAGCTCCCCCCTGCCCTCCCCCCCCCGCCCCCGCCCTGCCTTATAGCCTCTCTCCCACAGAGTGGAACATGTATTGCCACTGATGTACCTACATTGATGCATAAGAACCACTCAGATTCCATAGTTTACATTTGGGTTCCTTTTTTTTTTTTTTAAGATTTATTTATTTATGCATACAAGAACTGGGGTACAGGCCAAAAGTGTGTGGGGGGGGGCGAGAGGATTTGTCAGAGACAGAGTGGGGAACAGAACAGGCAGATTGACTGAAATACACTGCTGAGGGGAGCAGTGGGCAAGACAGGAGAGGTCTGCTCTGCCATGTGGGTTGCTCCCTGGCCGGGCATTGAACTCGTGCTGCAGTGGCTGCGGATAGCTTCATAGGTTATGCCTTAACCCCTTGTGCCACCAGGGAGGCCCTGGGTTCCTTCTTGGTGGTGTGCATTCTCTGGGTTTGGACAAATGTTCAGTGGTGTGTATTTACCATTGCGACATCATACAGAGAGGTTTCACTGCTAAAATTCCTGTGTGTCATCTGTTCATCTCCCAAAGAAAACATTTGATACTTTCATTGTCTCCATAGTTTTGCCTTGTCAGAATGGGATCATGTATTCAGAACTGGAATCAGAGAGTTTGTAGCCTTTTCAGATTGACCTCTTTCACTTAACAATACGCACTTAAGGTTCTTTCATGTCTTTTCATGGCTTGGTAGCTAGTACATTTCTTTTCAGTGCTGAATAATATTCCATTATCTGGATGGACCAGTTTATTTATCCATCCACCTATTCAAGGACATCTGAAACATATGGATGACATCCAAGTTTTGACAATTTTCACTAAAGCGTTTATAAACATTTATGTGCAAGATTTTGTGTGGACATAAGTTTTCAACTCCTCTGGGTAAATACTAAGGAGTATGATTGCTGGATCATATGATAAGAGTATTTTGATTTCTTTCATCGGAGAATTGTACTTTTTCTTATATAGTTTTGTACATATTTTGTTATATTTATGTATTTAAGCATTTAATTTTGGGGGTTGCTGATATGCATGCTATTGTGTTTTAAATTTTTTAATACTACTTGTTTATTGCTGGTATATAGAAAAGTAATGGACTTTTATATATTAACCTTGTATCTGGAGACTGTTATAACTGTGACTTGTTCTAGGAGTTTTTGTCAATTTATTTGGATTTTCTACATAGATAATCATACATTTATGAAGGAAGAGATTTACTTCTCCCTTCCCAATCAGTGTATCTTTTACTGCTTTTTTTGGTCTTAATGTATTCCCGAGGGCTTCCAGTATGGTGTTGAAAAACTACGGTGAGAGGGGACAGTTATGGCCTTGTCCCTGATCTGTGGGAAGACTTCTAGTTTCTCATCCCTAAGTATGGTGTTATCTGTAGGGTTTTTGTAGATATTCTTTATCATCATATTGAGAAGGTTCCCCTCTATTCCTAGTTTACTGAAAGTTTTTATCAGAATGGATGTTGGATTTTGTCAGATGCTTTTTCTGCATCTGTTGATAAGATCATATGATTTTTCTTCTTTAGCCTTTTGTTGTGATGTAGCACATTAATTTTTTGAATGTTGAACCAGCCTTGCATACTTGGGATAAATCCTCTTTGGTCATGGTGTATAATTCTTTTCATACATTTTGATCTGCTGTTCATGAGAGATACTGATCTATAGTTTTCTTGTAATGTCTTTGTCTTGTTTTAGTGTTAGGAGAATGTTGGTCTCATAGAATGAGTTAGGAAGTATCTCTCTGCTTCTGCCTTCTGAAGGAGATTGCAGAGAATTGGTACTATTTCTTTCTTTAGTATTTGGTTAGCCCATCTGGGCCTGGTGCTTTCTGTAATAGAAGGTTAATTATTAATTAAATATCTTTAATAAATAAAGGTTCCTTGTATTTCCATGTGGATTTTAGGATCAGTTTGTCAATTTCTGCAAAACAAAACAAAAACAGATTCTGATAGGAATTGTGTTGAATCAATAGATCATATTGGGGAATTTTTGGTACTTTTTGATTGTTTTTTAATTTTTTTTATTTTTTATTGGAGTAACATTGGTTTAAAACAATATATATGATTTAGGAGTATAGGTTCACACCTCTTCAGATGTGTGAATTCCACGCCACACCCACCTCCAAAGCACCCATAATATCCTCCACTGTAGTTTATAGAGCCCCATCCCCCCTTTATTTTCCACCCCTGTTCCATTTCCCTCTGGCAGCTCAGTTCTGCAGTCATATTTCTAGTCATATTTCATGGTTTAATTTTGATTTGGTTTAGTTTGCTTCTTTGTGTGTCTACATATGAGTGATATCATTGGTATTTGTCTTTTTCTTTTGAACTTATTTCACTTAGCATAACACCCTCTAGTTCTATCCATGTCCCAAATGAGGCAAGATTTCATCTTTTTATTGCTGAGTAGTATTCCATTGTGTTGTATATAGTTTTGCGATCTCAACAATGTCAGCTTTTCAGTCTGTGAAGATAGGATGTCTTCCCATTTATTTGGGTCTTTAGTTTTTTCCAACAATGTATTATAGTTCTCACTGCATGTCTTGCACTTCTTTTGTTAAATTTATTCTTAAGTATTCTTCTTTGATGCTGTCATATGTGGAATTCTTTTAATTTTTGGAGTGTTCACTGCTAGTATAGAAATGCAGTTAATTTTGTATATTAAATTGTGTATCCTACAGCTTTGCTCTACTCATTTACATTCTAATAGTATTTTAGTAGATTCCTTAGGATTTTTTTTTTATATATAAATCATGTTAGCCACAAATAGAGATGTTTAATTCTGTCTTTCCAATGCATATGCTGTTGACTCCTTTTCTTGCCTAATTTCCCTGGCTAGAATTTGTAGTACAATTGTTGAATAGAAGCGGTAAGAGCAGATCTTAGGGGGAAAGCACTTAGTCCTTCACCATTAAGGGTGATATTAGTTGTAGATTTTTCATAGCTGTCCTTTGTCAGGTTGTGGAAGTTTCCTTCTGTTTCTAGTTTGTTGAGTGATTTTATCATGAAAGCGTATTAGGTTTTGTCAGTTACTTTTTCTATGTCTGTGGAGGTGTTGATGTTGTCTTTATCCTTTATTGCTGTGGTGTTACACTGATTTTATTATTATTTTTTGGTATGTTGAACCAACCTTGCATTCCTGAGTTAAATACCACTTGGTTACTTGGTCATAGTATATGATATTTTTATTATATCTTGTTGGATTATGTTCACATTCATTTATAATTATTATGTCTTCTGGATGGATTGACCATCTTATCATTTTTAAGTGTTCTTCTTTGTCTCTAGTAGCAATTTTTGATTTAAAATCTATTTTGTCTAGCAATAGTATAGCCATTTCAGTTCTCTTTTGGTTACTATTTGTATAGTACATCTTTTTTATCCTTGACTTTCAATCTTTTTATTTTGTTCCTCTTCTAGTGCCTTATTATTATTAGGAGGAGGCAGGAGCACAGGATGTGGGGTGGGAGTCAAGGAAAAGGGCTCTTTCCCCTGCTCCAGCATTGTCTATTCTTCTCTTTGAGGTCTTGACAAATTCTTCTCTTTGAGGTCTTCGTGCTTGTTCACACTGCAGGATCCTCACAGGGACTGCTTCCTCTCTCCCAGATACCATTAATGCTACCTCTTGGTCTCATAAGTATTTAACCTCTGATCTGATGTTACTCAAGTGTCCTCTTTTCCCAAGCTACTGTCCCCATCTGCCCACTCTCCAGTACCCCCTCCGCAAGCAATACACCTACAGTGTTTTATCTACCTCTGAGGTTTCTGGTAGTTTTCTAGAAAGGGACTGTTGTCAGGTGGTTCTCATTCCATCACACCCAAAAACAGAACAATCAGCTTATGTTTTATGGCCCACACCCTAATCATCCATGAAAGCCCCCAGCTGTCTCCCTGTGCAGCATGAAGTCTCTTAACAAAAGATTAATTAGTGAGATCATTAAGCTTTGTCTGTGGCTCCTTCCCACAGAGTGTTCCCCTTCTCTAACCCCAGCCCCTGCTTCTGAAGCTGCATCTATTGGGGTAATAGGGCCAGGCCTCCCACAGGAGGCCTGCAGCTGCCCAGGGGTCAGAAGACCTGGGTTTCAGTCCTGGCTTCTTGGCTCATGTGCTGTAGGAACCAGTGCAAGTCCCTCTTTAGGGTGGTTAACCCAGGGGCTGTCACAGAACTCATCCTGGGTGGAATATAAATTGAAGCTGTCATCCCAGGAAGAGTCATCACCCCATGTAGATGTGAGGTGGGGCAGGACCAGAGAGACAGACATGGACAGGAACCCTATAATGTGACAGGTGATGGGTGTACCCTAAAGTGTCCCAGGGTACTGAGGGGTCTTCAGAGGAAGGAGGCTGCAGTTTCCAGGCAGAATTCAGGGGAGACATGGTGTTCTAGACAGAGGGCCCAGAAAAACCAAAAGCTTGGAGGTTTGAGAAGATGGAGGTCAGCCAGAGGGCATGCTCTGAAGAGCCCAGGAACCAGCCCTGAACCCCAGGGCTGGCCTGAGGGTTTGGCTCAGATTGCCCTATAGTGAGAAGGAGGCTGGACCTTGGCTGTGGGAAGCAGCAGGCCTCTAAGGGTAAAAGGTGGGACTGGACCCCTTGGGCTGTGTGAGTTCTGGTGAGGCCCATCCTCTAAAGAGGGACCTTCCAGGCCTGAGAAGCAGCAGCAGTAGGAGGAGAGGCCTGTCTGGCTTGGGGCTTTCAGGCGGGCTTTCCAGCGGACTTTCCCACCTGCTTCCCTTGGGGCTGCCATCCCTGCAGGTGTGGGGCCCTCTAGGCTGCCTGCCCTGGCTTCTAGGGTTGGACGGGGCAAACAGGAGGCACTGAGGAAGCCCCAACAGGTCCAGGCAGGAACCTTAACTTCCCCAGACGACACTTGGTGTGAAGGGGTCGGGGGCTGTGTGGACAGCCAAGGTGGGTTGGCGACAGGAGAGGGGCCTGACAGGACCTGCCACTCACAGGCGTGTGTCCTGGTGAGTGCCCCTCCCCTGGGCCTCAGGTTCCTCCCTGGGTTCAGGGAGAAGGCTCCCATAGGCAGTGAGGTCCTCCGGGGAGGAATGGGCCTGTGGTATTTTGCTGGTGGCCACAGCTCCAGGTGGTGGGAAGTGGGGGGCCCCAGGAGCAGCTGTCTACAGCCCCCTCCTTTGCCCATATCCAGGCACAGAGTTTGAATTCACTGACTCCGACAGCGAGTTCAAAGTTCGGAAGCGGTCGCCCGCTGGCCTGCTCCGGCCTAAGAAGGGGCTGGGGGAGCCAGGTCCCTCTCTGGCTGTGCCTGCGCCCGGCGCTCGGGGCCCGGGCCCCAGCAGCCCTGAGAAGGTAAAACTGGCAGCAGAGAAGGGGCGTAAGGCCCGCAAACTGCGGGGCCCCAAGGAGCCGGGCTTTGAGGCTGGACCTGAGGCCAGCGACGACGACCTGTGGACCCGGAGGCGCAGCGAGCGCATCTTCCTGCACGACGCCACGGCCGCTGCCCCCGCGCCCAGCAGCACCACGCCGGTGGCTGCCAAGCCCAGCCGCTGTGGCAAGGGCGGCCCACTGAGCCCACGCAAGGACGCCGGCCGCACCAGAGACAGGAAGGACCCTAGGAAGGTAGGGGCTCTGCGCAGGGGTGGAGGCAGCCAGGAAGGGGGTCCAGGTGCCACCCTCCCACCCCGGCTGTGAGGTGACTTCCATGTCCCAGCAGGGCCAGGCCTCCCCTTCCCTCTCTGGGGCCCCGGACCACCAGGAGAACAGTCACTCTAAAGTGCAGCTCTGTCTATGAGCACCTCAGAGGGGCTTCAGCCAGCAGCCTGCATGCGGTCATCCTGCACTGATGAGTGTAAACGGGTTCTCGAGGTCTCTGTGGGAACCATGTGCACAGGTGTTGGTGGCTTGTGTGGGTGACAGCCACAGGCGCCGGTGGTTATTGTGGTTTGTGGCCTCCACTCACACCTGAAGGAAAACCTCATTTCTTCAGAGGTTAGTTAGTGAAAATAGACTTGGGCTTTCTCCTTTCCCTTCCAAATTCACAGATTCCCCAGATTCTCTGTGTGGCCATTCCAGGTGGAGAACTTATACTTTGTAAAAATTCTATGATGATTACATCTGTGATGTTTTTGAACTGGCTGCTAGGAAGATCGTGGCCAATTGTTCCCCCAACAGCCAGTTCTTGACAGTAGTCCCTGACTCAGGTCTCTCCATCCTGAGTCCCTAGTGGAGGACAAACCCTCAAACAACAGTGACATTCTAGAGAAAGTCACACGAAGGGATGACTCATGTTGACTTCCTGGTGACGGGATTGTGCGGAAGAGGCTGCGTCTTTGTGCCAGCCACATGCACTGTGCCTTGTGCTCACCTCTTATTTCCTCGTGGCTGAAGCCATCTCTAGTTTTTCCAGGCCTTGGAGAGAAGGTGCTGGAATAATAAGCAATAATAATAATGGTGATACTGCTGCGATCCTACCAGGTAACCCATGGTGGGGCCCAGGCCTGCTCTAACCACATTACACAGATGTGTGGTTTACTGATACAGATTTCTTTGCTCACAACATTTCAGACACTACTACCCAGAATGTGCAGATCCCACAGGTTAAGGGTTCAGCCCTACAAGGCTTTCCCCCACCCCCTCCAGATGCCAGTCACAAGCACCAGGAGCCCCAAAGATTTCTGTCCACTGGCTGTAAATCAGGGGCTCCCACCACCCTCTTCTCAGGTTCAGTAATTTACCAAATGACTCAGAACTCAGAAAAGTGCTTGTCATAAAGGATACAACTCAGGGGCAACCAGATGGAAGAGAGGTGTTGTGGGGTGCGGGTGTGTATGGAGAGCTTCCATACCCGCCCCCACACCTGAGTGTTCACTAGACACTCCTTGAACACTATTGCTTAGGGGTCTTTTTAGAGTCTTCATATAGGGATAATCTGTCATTATTAACTCAGCCTCCAGCCCCTCTGGGAAGATTGGCCCTTGGGTATGAAAGTTCCACTCATGGCTTGGTCTTTTCAGTGACATCTCCCATGCTGTGGCTATCTAGGGGCTCACCAAGAGCCACCTCATTAAAAACAAAGGATATTCCTATCACCTAGAAAATTCCAAGGCATTTTGGAGCTCCCTGTCAGGAACTCACCTTATTCTTTATCTCTTATTATGTTTCACTTGGGTGTTCATCAACCATTTGAGGTAGGCTGCTCATATTAACTGCATTAACTGCTCTTTGTAGGTGGCCCTGTAATCTGCCCAAAGTCACAGCAGCTAGTGATCAACAAGGCTGAGTCTTGAATACTAGGAGTCTAGCCCTGGGGACTGGACCTTAACCACTGAGCCATACCACCTTTTCCAAAATGGCACTTTCTGGTAGCCCCTGGGTTCCTACTCCGTGGTTCCTGAATAGCCAGTGCTATGGGGAGGGAGGACTAGGGCCTCACCCCACCCCAGGAGTGGTGACACAGTAAGAGACTGGAAAGAAACAGGTTAATTGTTAACAAGTCCCAAGTCCTGTCACCCCAGGACCAACCACTGTCCACAGTTCTTGAGCAACCTGCTTTTAGACTCCACATTATTCTTCATGTATTCCTGCATGCCATGAGCTTTTATTTGTACGTGTTTTAAAATCAGTATTTCTCATGGCCCACCCTGGCTGTCCGTGGTTCTCATTATCCCCGTCACTGACCATGGTGACCGTTGGTGATTTGGTTGAAGATGCTATTTTATTCTGGTAATGACCACAGCCGTGAACATCTCTGTTCTGTGTACTGAGCTCACACATTCGGAGTTCTCTTCTTATGTATGTATTTATTTAAAGAATCTCTCAGAAGTGGGCTTCGTGGTCAATAGGATAGGAACAACTATCTGGTTTAATCTGCTTATAACAGCAGTTTAGAAGATAAAGAAAAGAACGACATTAAAATCCACTCAGGGGTAACCCTTCTTGCTGTCCTTTCTTTTCCATCCCCTGTGCACACAGCTGCAGGCGTGCTCCCGGAGATGAGCTGTTTGATAATAGAAGTCAGGGAGAAAGGGAACTGTGTTAAAAGTTCCTTCCACCCCTCAGATGCCTCCTGATTTCAGAAATGTGAACAGGATTAAAACACAATCAGAAACAGGGCCTCTCCGGTGGCGCAGCGGTTGAGCGCTGGGTTGCGAAGCTGCCCGCAGCCTCTGCAGCGCCGGCTCGATCCCCGGCTGCTCCCCGGCCACCAGAGGAGGGTCCCGCATGGCGCGCAGACCTCTCCTGCCGCCCGCTGCTCCCCTCAGCAGTGTACTTCGGTCCTTCTGCCTGCTCTGCTCCCCGCTCTGGCTCTGGTGAATTCTCTCACCCTCCCGCGCTTCTCTTACTGTGCCCAGTGCTTGTATAAATAAATAAATAAATCTTTAAAAAAAAAAAAAAACACACCCACAATCAGAAACAAAATAGAAAGTGTACATGTATTTTTTACTTTTCCTGAAATGGGGATTAAACCATACATTTTTTTGCCCCTGTAACGTTCCTGTTTGGCACTGTTGATGCCATTTGTTTGAGTGCCATTCAGCTGGCATGGAAACTGTGCTTTCTGCAGTTGTCTTGGTAACATTGGGCCAATATTATCCTTTTCTGTTTTACTTAATTTTCCACCTCCCTGGTCCCTGGACTTGGTCACTTTTTTTTTTTTTAAGATTTATTTATTTATACAAGAACTTGGGTACAGGTCAGAGGCGCGGGAGGGTGAGAGGATTCACCAGAGACAGCGGGGAACAGAACAGGCAGATGGACCAAAGACACTGCTGAAGGGAGCAGCTGGCTAGACAGGAGAGGTCTGCCGCGCCATGTGTGTTTCTCCCCGGACGGCCAGGAATCGAACCCGCGCTGCAGAGGCTGCAGACAGCTTCACAGTGCAGTGCTCAACCCGTTGCACCACCGGGGAGGCCCTGGTGACATTGTTTTAGGCATATCTTTTTGAAAAAGTCTACAGTTAATAACTTCCTAGACATCCCTCGCCCCCAGATCTAGTCACCTCTGGGTCTGACGGCTTCCTGCGCCAAGTCATCAGTCCCGTCTTCCCAGGCCCTTGCCTCCCCCAGGACAGGGCCCTCAGGTGCCAAACGCTCGCGACTCTGCCTGTGGATGCAGTGTTGCTGTAACAGGTTCTGGGCCTCTAGGTTGTTTCCACTTATTTGCTCGATGAATGAAGCCGAGCACAGTGCCTGTGTGCTCAGTTTCCACTCTACCACTGGGGGACTGTCGGGTGGCTTGGACATGGCACTCACTCACTGCCAAGGCGACTAGAAAGTAACGCGGGCATTCCAGAAGCCACTGGGGCAGCAGCTAAATGGCTTTAAAGGCTCCTTCCAGGAATGTGCCCGGCAGAATTAATCGGTACTGCCGGTTTTTTGTGACATTGTTAAGAAGAGTGAAAAAATGGGGGGCAGCCTGCACATGCATCATGGGGTGGGCTGGGGTGGTTAGGCGGATTGTGGTTCTCCCACACACAGCACATTGGGCAGCTGATGAAAATAAAAAGTGAGGTTGCTGCTGTGTATTTCAGAAGTGCTGGGGGGAAAGTCGCAAAGTGGAACTTTCGGTAAATTCCCAACTGTGTTTAAAAAAAGTAGTGTGTGCCTGCACAGACGGTGTGTTTACATGGCTGCATGTACTTATGGAAAGTTCTGGCAGGTTACACCACACCGTTACTAAGGCTCTAGTTACCTCTGCAGTTGATAGGAGAGGCGCTTGCACATGTAGACACTACAGTCTTATCTTTGCTTTTATAAGTAATATATAGTCATAAACAGTTAAGTAATACATAGTAGTTGTAAAACATTTGATCCAGGAGTGGTGCTCAGAGATTGAGGATAAGAACCAGGGGTGGGGATGGAATGGGTGGTGGGGGCATGGCCAGCCTTGACCAGGGTGTCTTGGCCAGCTCCTGCCTGGTAGCAGGCGGGGGTGTTGTATCCCACTGAGGACAGTGAGTAGAAGGAGGCTGGTCTGCCCTCTGGTCACTCTGTCTGTGGCTTCCTCCCCCAGAAGAAGAAGGGGAAGGAGGTGGGATCCGGAGCTGCGCTGCCGCCCCGCGTTCCTGCCCTGCCCCCTGAGGCCCGGGCCCCACACACCAGCTCCCCAGCCACCACTGCCAAGAGGAGCAAGGCCAAGGCCAAAGGGAAGGAGGTGAAGAAGGAGGTAAGGCTCGCTGTGCCCAGAGAATTGGGTCCCACAGGGTCCCCCAAAGTTGGGTGAATTTCTTCGCTCCGTTGACAGATGGGGCTGCACCCTGGCTGGGTTGTTTTCCCTCCAAGCCATCATGGCATTTCATCCCCCGCTGGCCTCTGGGGTGAGTCCAGCTGGGACCCCCACCACGCGCATGGCAGATTCCACTGCTGCCTGACTGTGACCCCAGGTTTCCAGGGAGGATCCCCAGATGGGCAGGACTCATGCCATGAGCTGAGCTGTTGGTCTGCCATGATCTGTCCCCAGAACCGGGGGAAGGGGGGCGCTGTGAGCAAGCTGATGGAGAGCATGGCTGCTGAGGAGGACTTTGAACCCAACCAGGATTCGAGCTTCTCCGAGGACGAGCACCTGCCCCGTGGTGGGGCTGTGGAGCGGCCACTAACTCCAGGTGAGCGTCCACAGTGCTGTTGGCGCGGCCTGGAATGTGGACACGCAGGCCGTTCCCCTGGGGAGCCTCCATTTGAGCCATGGCCTGAGATGGGCAGGGCCTGAGCTGGCACAGGGCAGGGCGGTGAGGGGGAGGCGACCGTACTGCATGTTTGGAGGCCCTGAGGCTGGCTGGGAGGGTGGCGCCCAAGTGAACTGAGAGGGCCACGTTGGCTGTGGCTTAGTGAGTGCGGGGTGCGAGGGCAGCCTTGGGGTCAGGGCGGAGGCAGAGGCGGATCCGCCAGAGTCTCGTGGGCGTTGGCAGGCGTTTGGTCCTTGCCCTGAGGACGATGGAAGGGGTCAGAGGTTGTAGTGGACAGCTAGTTAGGTTAGATGGGAAGACTCTCTGCGTGTAGAGCCTGGACTGCAGGAGTCCCAGCGAGGGTTCCGCGGCTTCGCAAGGACGCAGGTGCGCAGCGTTGGGGCTGCCAGGGACAGTGTGAGTCTGCGCATGCGGAGGGAGAGAAGCTGGGCCAGTGGGTCATGTGAACAGATGAGCGGGGACGGGTGTGGACAGGTGTTGGCCGGTGGAGGGTACAGAGGGCGGCAGCACATCCTGGCCTTCTGTGACTGGGTGCTGGAGGACATCCCAGGGAAGTGATGGCTCGTTGGCACTTGAATCTGGGGTCTGGAGCTTGGAGAAGACTGAGGATAGGAATCGGGGGTGGGTGGAGTGGAGGGGGAGCAGGGCCAGCCTTGAGGACTTTCTCACTGATGAGCTGCTGCTGTGTCGTCGGCGCTGGGCGTCAGTGGTTGTGGGCGGTAGGCACTGGGGTCTAGGTGGTCTTCGGCTGGCCTTGCTCCTGTGCTCCCAGGATGGCGGGGTGTCCACTGACGCAGGGGCCATTCGACCCCTGGACCAGCCTCCATTCAGAGTCACACTTAGTCTCCTTTGGCCTGTCCCATTGTCAGAGCAGCTCCCACGCCCAAGGTCGAGAGGCGGGGTGTCCACTCTACCCTTGGGGGCTCTGGTGGGATGTGGGTGCAGGCAGATAAAGAACTGCACTGGCTGTTCTGTCCACCCAGCGAGCTGTCTGGGTCTCCCTAATGTGCGTTGTGCCGGAGAGGGAAAGGCAGGCCAGGATCGGGAGAGTCTGATGAGAGGTCTTCCCAGGAAGGGGCGGCTTAAGCCAAGGGGAGTGGCCGGGGTGTTGCTAGGGGGTGGTCTTGGTCTGACCAAGAGAGGTGCGGGGACAGAGAGTGCTGGCAGCACAGGTAGAAGTTTGGATCCGGGGAGGCTGGTTTTCGCCTGAACAGATGGCATTCCAGGGGGAGGACAAGCTGGCCAAAAGTCCTGGAGGCTGGAGGAGGGTGAGGAGACAGCAGTGGAGGTTGATAACCTGGCGCCTCCTGTCTGGGCTCAGAGGGTAGTGGTCCTGGCGTGAGGGAGGGGCTTCATGTGCAGGCTGTCATCCCCAGTTCACTTCACGGGGTCTCCCTAGAGGACTGGGGGGGCTGCACATGGCCCGTGTGTGCGCATAATGCCCGGAGGCTCACCAGACACCCCAGTCTTCTGTTCTCAGTGGGGCAACTCAGGGCAAGCGGCAGGCCTGGGGACCATGGCGGTGGGGGGGGGGGGCGGGTCCTGGCCGTCCCGGCTGCAGCCCCACCCACTGCCCACTCCTGCAGCCCCACGCTCCTGCATCATCGACAAGGACGAGCTGAAGGACGGCCTGCGTGTGCTCATCCCCATGGATGACAAGCTGCTGTACGCTGGGCACGTGCAGACGGTGCACTCGCCGGACATGTGAGTGGGGCTGGGGGCGGCCTGGCAGGCACGGCGCCAGCTCAGACTCCAGCAATGCTTGCCCCATCCTGCACCCGGGGACACCATGCAGGGCCTCTATGGGCAGGTGACTGCACGTTTCTGAACTGGGGCTCCCCGCCATAAAGCGGGGCGGACTCAGAGGACACCCTGAGGACAGTCCTCTCTGAGGGTGGGCGGCCAGGGGGGCCCTTGCTGGCCAAGGAGGCAGGGGCTCAGCAGGAAGGGACAGGAGAGCGCGTGCTGGCCCCCTTGGGTCTGCAACACCTGGTTGTACAGATGAGGAAACAGATCCAGAAGTGGGGAGCTGTTACCCTGAGTTTATGCAGCGAGTTTATATGGCTTGTACATCATATAGCGAGAGTCTAGGAGGTAGCACTGGTGCTGCTGGGCCCTGAATCCCAGACAGGAGCCCTGTGGGGAGGGCCCAGCCTCTGCCCCCTCACCGCACACCTGCCCCGCCTTGCAGATATCGTGTGGTGGTGGAAGGTGAACGTGGGAATCGGCCCCACATCTACTGTCTGGAGCAGCTGCTGCAGGAGGCGGTGAGTGGGGGGGCGGACCCCTGGGAAGAGGGGGTTCGGAGACTGTAGCTGCAGCTGTGTTCTGGTTGCTCACTTTTTGCCTTTCCAGATCATCGACGTGAGGCCGGCCTCCACTCGCTTCCTGCCGCAGGGGACCAGGATCGCCGCCTACTGGAGCCAGCAGTACCGCTGCCTCTACCCCGGCACCGTGGTCCGAGGTCAGCAACTTTGCCCCCTCCTCCTGGGCTTCCTGTTTCCTAACAGATCAGTGTGGTTCCCTTCAGTCCCCCGGACCCCACGTTCACTGGCTTAAGCGTAAAGAATTTTATCAGCTTGTATTGCTCTACACTTATAGGACTGTCGGGCGGGTGGACCCAGGCTCTGTGTGCCCTCCTCATTGCTGGCCTCACACCCAGCTCTGGAGGGCTGTGACCCCCCTACCCCCCATCCTAGCGTTTCACCAGAGAGCTTCTTAGGATGTTGTCCTGCTGACCAGGTCACCGGGTTGTCTCTGATCCCAGTGCCTTGGGCATGATGAACTGGATCTGGGTCATGTGTTGTTTCCTGATTTTACATATGGCTTGAGAGGGCTGGTGATGTGGCTTCCCTGAGAGAGTGGGGATGTTGGTAGAACGAGAGATTGGAAAGTGGGGAGACAAAAGTGACAGGTACTTGAGAAAACACAGCGTGGACGGCAGAACAACAAAAGTGGGAGATATTCAAACAGTCACCCCTTAGCTTTTGCAAAACCAGCAAATTATAATTGTTTTAAAAAATACTCTTTTTGTTTCATGGAGACTGTCTTTTTTAACATTTCTCCAGGGACTTATTGTTTTCATTTTAGATTTCGTTAACTCCCTTTCCTTGTGAGTTTCCTCTTCTCTCTCTGTGTTCTCACTTCAAGCTCCCCTTACCTCTCTGTTCTCTCTCTGACTTTTGTTAGACATTGGCTTTTTGTCTCTGGCCATCCTTAGTAAGCGGAGCCACAGCTCTGTGTGTGGGCGGCGCCTCAAGGCAGTGGTGGGTGTGAATGTTGGGTTGGGAGCCTCGAGATACCAGTTCTTCTCCCGTCAGCCAGTCCGACTTCCCACAGACTCTGTCTTCAGGGATCTGGGCCAAGCGTCTGGCACTTGGGGTTGGGGTTGGCAGTTACCATTCAGTGTAGAGTCCTCCCATCACCCTGGCTCATGTGGCACCCACTCACCCTCCTCCACCGTGCCCAGTGTCCTTCAGGGTCTCTCATAAACCTCGCAGCTCCTCAGCCTATCCGGGCCTGGAGTCCCCGGTACCTCTTCCTACAAAGGTGCTTAGCGCCTGTGGGACCCACGGCTTTGCAGGGTTTCCTTATAAAAACTGGCTTCCTTCTAGTGGGCGTCACCTCCTCCCAGGCGTCTGACTGGGCCGAGAGAGCCAAGACCAAAGCCGTTTACCTGTTGTCCATGGAGGTGTGGCCTGGGGCGTGCTCCTGCGCCATCTCCTTACCTGTTCACTCCCTCTGCCCTTCATCTTCCTCCCCATGCTGCTGCTCGTTCTGGGGAGGACCTCGGGAGTGGGTGGCGCAGACTCGTGTCCCAGGACGCACACTTGGCAGGAAGGGGAGAGCCAGTCCCTCTGCCCGGCCGAGCGCCTTGGAGCCGACACTGCATGCTGCCTGGTCACTCCATCCTCCTGCCCACGAGAGAGCCGGTGCCATGGCCTCACTGCCTCCCTTCACAGGGCTGCTGGGCCTGGAGGACGACGGGGACCTGATCACCGTGGAGTTTGACGATGGGGACACGGGGAGGATTCCTCTCTCTCACATCCGCCTCCTGCCTCCCGACTACAAGATCCAGTGTGAGTGTGGCCCTGCTGCCCAGTCACCGCCCCCAGACCCTTGCTGGGCTCCCTGCAGCGTGGACCCCCCCCTCCCCGTAGAGAAGCTCCCAGTTCCCTGAACCTGGTGCTGCACTGTCGCTGTCTGCCATTTGGACCCATAGGGCATGGACATGGTGGGAATGAGTTGGGGCTCCCAGAGTGGGTGGGGAGAGGGGATCAGAGGGTTTCCCGGACTCTGTGTCTGGGGCCTGTTAGGGTAGGCCCAGGCCAGGCCGCCCTGTCGTGGGTGGGGGCGGTAAGTGTACTGATAGTTCCACGCTCTGAGTGGCCGTGGTACTTTGAATCACTCCCTCACTTTGGTGTGTCTGTGAACCTCCCCTTGACTTGCCTACAGGAGATGGTTCAAAGAGGAAATGACCTATCCAGGGCCCATGACTAGTTTAAGGCAGATCCAGGACTCCTGGGACTTTTTGGTGTATTAGTGTCCGGCCTCAGGGGTGTTGAGTGACCTCTATTAGATCAAAAATAAGTCAGCCTCTGTCATCAGCCCCACAGCTCATCCATTTGAGGAGCCCCACTGAGCTACTTCAGGGGACGCCTTCCTCCAGGCCTCCTGGCCACCTGGTGTCATGGGGCCCCTCCCCATGACATGATTGCCTGGCAGCTTGGGGAGTGGAGACCCCTGCCTGAGCCACCATCCGTTCTGCCCTGCAGGTGCTGAGCCATCCCCGGCGCTCCTGGTGCCGAGTGCCAAGCGCCGCAGCCGGAAGACCAGCAAGGACACTGGGGAAGGCAAAGACGGAGGCACCCCGGGGTCAGAGGAGCCCAGCGCCAAGGCGCGAGGACGTGGCCGGAAACCCAGTGCCAAGGCCAAGGGTGGTATGTCAGCCCCGCCCGGACCAGGCGAGACCACCCCCACCTGTGGGAACTCTGGACCCCAGGGCTATTTTGACCATTTGACAGATTAGGAAACTGAGGCTCAGGGAGGCACATTGGTCTGTCCGTGGCATAGCTGAGATTCAGCCGGGGTGTGTTCCCCCAGGCTGCAGAGAAAAGTGCTTTGGGCTAAGAGCTAGGGCTAGTCAGGGCCACCTCCTGACACCAAGATGGTGATGTGAGGGCCTCTGATCTGGAGGCCCAGAGGGGCTGCCCGTTCAGGAGCTGGTGACTTAGGATTGAACCCTGGGCTTTGTGACTCGGGAGCCCCTGCCTCATGTAGATTTTCCTGGTCTCTTTTAGATAGAGCTGCTGTCCTGGAGGAAGGGGGCTCAACAGATGAGGTTCCTAGCGCCCCATTACCTCTGGAGCCAATCAGCACCCCAAGTTCCAAGAAGACTCCCCCAGAATCCGTGGACAAGCGGGCCAAAGCTCCCAAAGCACGCCCAGCACCCCCACAGCCCAGCGCAGTGCCATGCACCTTCACCAGCTGCCCAGGTCCTGAGTCCTTTGGGGAGCTGCCGGCCCCCTCTGCGGCCCTGGCCCCAGCCCCACTCGTCACCATGCCCATCACCATACCGGCCACCCGGCCCAAGCCCAAGAAGGCCCGGGCTGCTGAGGAGTCGGCCGCCAAGGGTGCCCGGAGGCCAGGGGAGGAGGCCGAGCTGCTTGTCAAGCTGGACCACGAGGGTGTCACGTCGCCGAAGAGCAAGAAGGCCAAAGAGGCCCTGCTTCTGCGGGAGGACCCCGGGGCGGGGGGCTGGCAGGAGCCCAAGGGCCTCCTGGGCCTGGGCAGCTACCCGGCGGCAGTGGGCAGCAGTGAGCCCAAGGCGGCCCGGCCCAAGGCCGGGGATGGCGACCCAGCCCAGGAGCCCGGCCTGGGACTCACGTTCGAGGACTCGGGGAACCCCAAGAGCCCGGACAAGGGCCAGGCCGAGCAGGACGGGGCCGAGGAGTCCGAGAGCAGCGGCAGCAGCAGCAGCAGCAGCGACAGCGGCAGCAGCAGCAGCAGCTCAGAGACAGAGGGGGAGGAGGAGGCCCGGGGCGGCGGCGGCCGCAACTGCAGCGCGTCCAGCTCCAGGGCTTCCTCCTCCTCCTCGTCCTCGTCCTCGTCCTCGTCCTCGTCCTCCTCGTCCTCGTCCTCCTCGTCCTCGTCCTCCTCGTCCTCCTCGTCCTCCTCCTCGTCTTCCTCCTCTTCGTCCTCCTCGTCCTCCTCCTCCTCCTCCTCCTCCTCGTCCTCCTCCTCCTCCTCCTCCACCACAGACGACTCTTCCTGCAGCTCAGACGACGAGGCCGCCCCCACCCCCGCGGCCGGCCCCTCGGCCCCGCCAGCCCTCCCCAGCAAGGCCCCCAAGCCGGCCCCCAAGGCTCGCTCCTCCGCGCACTCCCCTGGCAAGAAGGCCCCGGCGCCCCAGGCGCCCCCGCCGCAGCCCCCACAGCCTCTGCAGCCCAAGGCCCAGGTGGGCGCCGGGGCCAAGACCCGGCCCAAGAAGAGGGAGGGTGTCCACCTCCCCACCACCAAGGAGCTGGCCAAGAGGCAGCGCCTGCCGTCCGTGGAGAACCGGCCCAAGATCGCCGCCTTCCTGCCTGCCCGGCAGCTCTGGAAGTGGTTCGGCAAACCCACGCAGGTAGCCCGGGCCCCGGTCTGCAGGCTGTGTCTTCCTCCGGCAGGGTGGCTGCTGCCCGCCTTCCCTCCTCCTCGTGCAGAGGCCTTTCGGCTCTCCCGGCAGCCCGTGGTAGAGGGGCGGGGAGCGGTGCAGGTGTCTCCCGTTCACAGCAGGGAACGCTGAGTCTCGGCTCCGAAGACCCCGTGTCTGTCAGACTCAGGGCCCGTGTCCTAAAGGGCCTGCCCTGTAGCCCTGCGACACGGTCCAGCCCTCTGTGGGAGCCGCTGCAGACACGTGTGAGCACCACACAGAGCCTCCAGCGTGGGCTCCGTAGCCGCGGAGCTCGTGACCAAGCAGCCGGTGTTGGTCACACAGCTTCACACTCCCTCCCTCCCTGGCTTCTGCGGTAGAGCAGCTCAAGGCTCCCACCTACTGGGTTCGCAGGCCCTTGTCGGGGACAGACTGGACCCCGCGCCCTCTCCTGAGCCAATCAATGTGGCCAAAAGGCAGAATGTGCTCCTTGGCCAGTTCTGGGTCACATGGTTGTCCAAAGGGCACCCCGCTGGCCCACCATGGGGCGTTCTACCCCCTGCACATGTGGACACAGCACACAGGTGCATGTGTACGTGACACACACGTGTACATAGGCACATGCCACCTGCACACACATACCCTCCCAAGAAGCTGCTCTGTGGACAAGGGGAACAGCCCCTGTGGAGACCAGTTCACCCCACAGGCCTCCGGGTGGGGCGAGTAGGGCTCCTGTTCACGTGTGTGATGGCGGGCAGAGTCCTCCACTTCCTTGAAGCCCAGGTCCCACTAGGGCCGGTTTAGGGACTTGGAGGTGGACTGTAGTGCCCCTCTGAAGAGCTTGGGAGGTTTCTGAAATATTTGCATCAAGTTGGTGTCCAACTTGTGTCCAACAAGTCAGTCAAGAAGGCCAGAGAATGTTCGGAATCCAGACTATCTTGGTTTTTTCTGTCTCTTTAGTGGCTTTCTAGGGCTTTCCCTGTCCAGCCAGGGGCAGAGTCCCAAGTGGGAGAGGACAATTCTGTATGCTCCAGGATGCACCCCCAGGGCCCTTTAGAATTGTCTGACCCTGCAGGGTACTTTGAATCCTTTTTTGGTTGTGGGCTCTAGGCTGAGCACACAGACCTTTGTAGACCCTTCCCTGCAGGCTACAAACAGTACCCAGACATTCCAGCCCCCAGAGTTCTGATCCCAGCAGGTGCTTTATTGACTGTGGGTGTCAAGGGGTGAGCACTTCTGAGCCAGGGACAGCCATCACATCCTCACTGTCCTGCATCTACTCACGACCCATTCGTTACTCTAGCTTCTGCCATTTGCAGGTTCTGGTGTCGGTGTCAGTATGAGGGAGGGTTCTTACAGCTGCGAAGGACAGAAGCCTGATGGAAATCCACTTAAGCACAGGGCCAAACTTGCTGACTTATTTAATAGAAAATCTAGAGGTACAGGCTTTAGGTAAAGCTGGATCCAGGGGCTTGAAGGAAGGCTGCGTTCAGATCCACTCTCAGGTCTGTGATCTGTGCTCCAGACTCTCCTTCCTTTGGGCTGGTGTTTTTCTCCAGCAGTCCCTCACCCTCTTTGTGACATGAAACCCAGTAGCTTTCAGCTTCCATTCTACCAGCTTAGAAGTGATAGTAGAAAGGAAGTACCTTTCTCTCAGGGTTCAAGCTAGAGCTGGTGGAGTGTGTTTGACTTGGGTCCTGTGCTCACTGTGACTGGGTGTTTGGATTGGCCAGAGGGGTCCTGTCCTGTCCCAGGGATGGTATCAGCCTCACAGAAAGCCCAGTGAACCAATGGGGTCTGTGAGAAGGGGAGTAGCTGCTAGATGCCCAAGAAAGTAACAGCTGCCAGAGTCAGTTTAGAAATCCTAGCTGTGGACTTCGCCTTGAGCCTCATTCCACCATGCCTCGATCTGTAAAGAATTTTAGCAGTTTACAGGATATATAAGAAATGAGTGACGTGGACATAAAAAAATGCATCACCATGAGGAAGCCAATGAGTTAAAAGTAGAAAAGGGACTGCTGCAGGAAATTACAAACCTAGCACCAGCCCAGGTGAAGGTACTGAGGAGGCTGCAGGGAATGTTTGTTGAGTGAATAAACACCCCTAGGCCTGCCTGTGACCTAGCAGCTGTGGGCACATGTGCTGGATCCTGCAGGCTCCTGAATCTGACCTTAGTGGCTTCTCTCTGCAGGGGAGAGTGAGTCATGCCTGGGGGTTGACACCCCCACATCCCCATCCCTCATCCCTGCTTAGGCCACTTGGCGGGGGACGCGGGGTATCTGATTCTGCTGAGCCCACGGCTGCCTGTGGCCTTATTGATTGAGGCCGTGTTGACTGGAGAGTTCTTGTGGCCCCAGGGGTGTGCTGAGGGCCCTTTGGCTTTGCCTCCCGCTCCTCCTGCTGGACCTCACTGGTCCTGTGTGGACGGCAGGGCGTCAGAGTGGGGCTGGCTTGGCCCGGAAGGCCAATGTTGGGACCCAACGAGAGGACTGGACCCAGGGCCATCCTTGGGAGCCCCATTGCACCGCTGGTGTGCGTTGCCTGCACATTAGTGCCCGTGGGCCCTTTAGGGCGTCCTAAGCTGAACTTAGCCAGGAGGGCATTAGAGGTCTCTTAGCTGCAGAACCTGTAGCTTAACTAAAGCCCTTCTGGGAGACTCAGTGTGCCAAAGGGATGCAAGAAGGGCTCCCTGGTTGAGCAAGCAAGGGTGTTCCCTCTCCTGTCCTGCCCCTTGCAGGCTCCCCAGAGTTCAGGGAAGGGGTTCCAGGTGGCAGCACCTGCCTGGACAAGGGCCTGGTGGTGTATGCCGCTCTTGACCCACCCGTGTCCCACAGCGCCGTGGCATGAAGGGCAAGGCCCGTAAGCTCTTCTACAAGGCCATCGTGCGCGGCAAGGAGATGATCCGCATCGGGGACTGCGCCGTCTTCCTGTCGGCCGGCCGGCCCAACCTGCCCTACATTGGCCGCATCCAGAGCATGTGGGAGTCGTGGGGCAGCAACATGGTGGTCCGCGTCAAATGGTTCTACCACCCTGAGGAGACCAGCCCGGGCAAGCGCCTGCACGAGGGCCAGGTGAGCTGTGAGCAGGCCGCTGCAGGGAGGTGGGGTAGGGGGAGCCAGAACACATCCCTGGGGTCCCAGGCAGTGGGAGGTGGGGGCCAGGGTGATGGGGCCTGGGCCTGAGGCCTGGGAAGGCAGGGCCCAGGGTCACTCCTGCCCCTCACTGTTGCACACACAGCTCTGGGACCAGAAGTCCGGCCGCAGCCTCCCTGCAGCCCTGCGGGTCTCCAGCCAGAGAAAGGACTTCATGGAGGTAGGAGGTGTTGGCGGGCAGTGGGTTCCTCCTTCCCCACGAGCCCTGGGAGGGGCCGGCTCCGGTTCCAGCTCCCATCTGTGACTCAGCTGCTGGTTCCTGGTTCCTGTCTCTCCTGGCCTCAGCATCTGTTTCTTTGTTGCTTTCAGTCTCTTACTCTCCAGGTCTCTGTCTCTGTTCATCCTTGTCCTCAGTTCCTCTGGGGGTTTCTGTCCCTGTCTTGGGGGGGCTTTCTGTCTCGGGGTGTGTGCCCTCAAGGATTCCTCTGGGCCTTGTGTTTTGGGAGGGGGCTCTCCCTGGCCCTCCCTTGCTCTGACACCGCCCACCCACCATGCCCACAGCGTGCCCTGTACCAGTCCTCGCACGTGGACGAGAATGACGTGCAGACAGTGTCGCACAAGTGCCTGGTGGTGGGCCTGGAGCAGTACGAGCAGATGCTCAAGACCAAGAAGTACCAGGACAGCGAGGGCCTGTACTACCTCGCGGGCACCTATGAGCCCACCACAGGCATGATCTTCTCCACCGATGGTGTGCCTGTGCTCTGCTGAGCGCCCCGTGCCCTGCCGGCGCCCCACCAGCTGCCTTGCGCCCTGAGGGCCAACAGAGGCCCCTCACCATCACTGCCACGGCTGGGGGCCACGTGCGTTGGTTGTGTGCATGCAAGTGTGCTCGTGGATGCCCTGGCGCATGAGTGAGTGTGTACATGTGTGTGCCCGTATGCATGCACGTGTGTACACACATGTGCACATGTCTCCAGTCCCCCTCTAAACCCCTCAGTGCCCCCCGAGACAGGGGCTCCTCTCAGCTATCAGGGTATGGCTCTGCCCGGCCCCCTCAGAGGCCTCCCTCCAGCACCTTGTAAGCACTTGGTCAGGTCAGCCCCCACCCCTGGACCAGCACCCCCAGGCTGATGCCGACGGGGGGTTTGGTGGGAAGGGTTTCTGAGGAACCAAACAGAGGCTCACCCTGGGATTCCCACCACTATGGGTCCTCCCAGGGGGCCCAGTGCCTGGCCCCCCTCAGCACAGAGCCCACCTCAAGCCTCCTGTAATGAGGGTGGTTCAATGCCCACCCGCTGCACCAACCAGGTTTGCCCTGGGCACCTGCCAGGGGTCTGGCCTCCGCCCTCTCAGGATGGCCTGGACTTGGGGACAGACCAGGTGAGGGTGGAACCCCGAGAGCTGGGCAGGTGGAGGGGCTCTGTGCCCTGAGGCCCCAGCAAGGGCTTGCCCTGCCTGGCCCAAACCCTCACACTACAGATTCCCCTATGGTGCTGAATCCTCACCGGCCACACGCAGACGCCCGCCCGCCCGCCTGGGCGAGGCCATTGGCCGCCAGGAGGGGCAGTTCTTAACCTGTACAGTTTTATTGTACCAAGAGACTCTTCCCCTGTATCATACGCCTTTAAATGGAGTCAACTTTTTAATTATATATATAAAGATAAATATATATAAATATATATAAATATAAACTTTTTAAAACTGTGAAAAATAGCTATGAAACTATAAAAAAAAGCGAACACATTCTGACGTGCAGAATATTATTTTTTATTTCCTGTTAGATTGTGAGTGTCTAGCACCCAGCTTCACAGCCCTCCCTGTCCCAAGCACACCCCGCCCCTGGCCCAGGTGTACTGTACTCGCCCCCAGCGCGAGGAGAGGGAGGAGAGCAGAGGCTGAGGGCGCAGGCCGGTCTGCGGCCCAGCCGGCCCACGAAAGCACTTACCAGCCCCCGCCGTTCTGGGGATGGAGCCCTCGTCCAGACAATCTTAAGGGAAGGAAAAGCCAGACTTTGGTTTTGTTTTTTGGGGGAGTTATTGTTTTCCTTTTTTTTTTTTTAAGTTTCTTTTGGAATTTTGTTTGTTGGCAAATTCTGTGTGATTTTTCATAAAAAAAAGAAAAGAAAAGAAAAAGTTATAATTGGAAAAGCACTGTTGTCTGGAGTGGTTTTTTCGCGGGCTGGGTGGTCTTGGTCCTGGTCACAGCCCCTCCCGGCGGGCTGGCATTTCAGGGTCTGGGAGGTAAAGGCAGACGGAGCTGGGTGCAGCCCAGAGGGTGGCCACGGGCCACATGTGGAAATTTCAGTTTGTGCTGATTTAAGTGACAGGAGGTGAAGCTGCATCCGCCCCCTCTCCGCAGCTGCTGCCTTGGGCAGCCAAGACAGAATGGCCCACCCATGCAGTTTCCTTTTCCTTCTTTTAGAATGTGGAACTCCGTTCTCCCAGCCATGTCTGTGCCTGGGGCCCACTGTGCTGCTGGTCCGAGTGGCAGCCAGCCTGGTGGATGGTGGGGCAGCACCCCTGTGGATGTCCAGGGAGGCTGGGCACAGTCTTGGTGCTGCACCCCCTCCTTCTCTGAGGTTGGCTCCTAATCTGACCCCACAGGTCCTCTCCCAGCAACCAGTGCAAAGGTCAGTGTGGATGAGATGTGGCATTCTGAGCTGTGCCGCGCCGGGCATGGTGATTAAAAGCACTAACACCCTGAAGGCCGCTAGCTCCGCATCTGGCCCTCCCGGTTCTGAGGAACACCAGCCTGGGAGGTGCAGGGCACTAGCGCCACTTGGCAGCCTCCTGGGGCACCGCCCCTCATGCCTTGGCCCTTGTGGCTGTGGGAGGGATGGGGGCTGGCCTGGGTCCAGATGAATGGTGCCCCCCTTTGGGTCCCAGGGGCATAGCTGACCCGCAGGGTCCAGCCCCTGCCCCACCTTCAAGAGACCCGCATCAGAGAACGGATCAACATGGAAATTTGTGCAAATCCCACCAATGGGAGTGAGAAGTGAGCCCAGGGTCTGCTCAGCTTCAGGGCTGGATGCCGTCATTCTCCCTGATTGTCCTGAGAGCCACAGAGGCACCAAGTTGCCCTTTAGACCCCAAATGCTTCCAGCCCCACCCGTCACACAACCCCGTCTGGGGCCGGCTACACATGGGGGGCCCTCCTGCTACTGCCCATCCCTGCCCACCCCCTAGGAACTGCAGGCTGGGTGCAGGCAGGGACACTTCACAGACGGGAAGAATGAGGCCCCAGTTACGTGGGTGGGAAGGACCCTCACCCACACCCCAGGGGCCAGGCAGCCCCACCCACACAGACACCATGGAGGCCAGTGGTGCAGTTTCTCTGCCTTCATCTTTTTAATGGCCAGTGCGGTACAGTTAGTGGACAACAGTGGACGGGACACAAAGGGCGCGCAGTCACAGCTGTGCCGTGGTGGTGTGGTGTGCAGGCCGTGTCCTCCAGAGAAGCCCCTTGGCAGGCTGCTCCTGACTCTGCCAAGCCAGCCTGAAGCTCTGGAGGGTCCAGTCGGGGAGGGAAACCCCCACCTCCTATTTGGTGAGGACTCATGTCTGTCCTTGGGTCTTGTTGGTCAGAGACCAAGGCTGAGGTCAAGTGCTGACTTCAGCTAGGGTGTGGGGAGCGGCTGCCCTCCTGCCGAATCAGGGGCAGATGGAGGAGCAGAAGTTTTAAGAACTGGGAGTGGGGGAGAGTGGAGGACTCTTAGGCTCATGAGGAGGAGTCCCCGGTGAAGGAGAGGCTGGGTGAGGTTGAGCCCTGACAGGAGCCATGTGTTTGGTGCCATGTGGCCCTCAAACAGACCTGGGGGTGGGGGCCGCCGGGGGGATACTCTGGCTGGTGGTCTGCTCTGCTAGGTGGGAAGGGCTGTGAGTGACCCCCAAAGAGCTCTGGCCTGGCTAGGGCTGGGGCCACCGGACATGGATGGAGGGTGGAGGGCAGGGGTGAGACGAGACGCAGAGCACAGTGCTGGCGGAACCCTGGTGGTGGCGACAGGTCCGGGCTTCCAAGAACTTAGCAGAGCCCTGGGACTTGAGTGACAGGTGGCTGGGTCCAGAGAGGGTGGCATCATTGGCACTGGGCGGAGGCCGGGGCCCCTACAGGCACTGCAGTCAGGGGCAGGAAGGGGCCTCAGGCCTCTGGGCCCCTCATTGGGGCCCCGGGGCCCTTCCTGGGCAGGGCCAGGGCCACGCCTGGCTCAGAGCCTGCTGGGGAAGGACGCATTGGCGGAGGTGTGGAAGCAGCTGTGGTGGGCCTCCCGGGTGAGGCTGTAGGTGAAATAGGCCACAGCAGAGCCCAGCGTCAGCCCCGTCATGTAGGACACAGTCATGGTGTTCCCTGTGGACGAGACGGGCCTGAGCAGGAGCGCGGGCAGCGAGCCGTCTGCGGAGGACCGAGCAGCCGGTTCCACGCTGACGCACCTGGCCGCCACTGGCCAAGGGTTGGAACTTTGGCTTCTCAGGTGTGCAATGGAGTCCACAGCCCCTCCAGGGTGGCTGGACATACCAGCTCACCCCAGGCCTTGCCTGCTTGCTTATTTCCACCTCCAACTGCTCCCTCGTCACAGATAATGCGGATGTCTGATGGGCCTCTTGAACCCACTGTGCCGGGTATCTGACTCTGGCGCCCTCTCCTCTCGAGCTCTCTCCCCATCTCGTTCGACACGAATCCAACCTTCTAGCCTCGAGCAGCAGTACCCACGCGGGACACCCGTGGCCCCCTGTCCCTTTCTCACGCCCCATCACCCCATCTCCCAGTCTGCCTGCTGGCCCTGTGGCACCACCCAAACATCCAGGATCGAGTGCCTGCTTCTGGCTCACAGCACCCTGTCCTGAACAGCAGCAGTCAGGCCTCGCCCTGCCTGCCGGAGCCGCACCAGAGGCGGCCTTAACAAGCACAGTCACATCCTGTGTCTCCTCCGAGCCTGCCCTCACAGCGGCCCCTCCCATCTCCTGCTCCCTTACACGCTGCTCCTGCCCCAGGGCCTTTGCCTGCGCTATCGCCTCCATCGAGAACCGTTCCCCTTGCCGGGTCCTGTGACTCCCGCACCTCTTCCTCCAGGGCTTTGCTCGAAAGTCGCCACCTGTCTGAGGCGTTCCTGGGCTGCTCTGCATCAAGACTGCCCATCTCCTTCCTCCGTGGTACTTACACCAGGCAACGTACTACATCTTTTGTTATTGCCTGTCAGCCCCAGAAGCAGAGGGACGTACTACTTTGTCGTCAGCGTCCCCAGTGCTGAGAACAGCAAGGACAAGGAGAGAGTGAAGGCTTAAGTGATGGCAGAGCACACCACACTGTGAGATCCCTGAGGTTGAGTTGACTTGAGCCCAGGACCGAGACATGCCTTCTTGCAAGGTGGGCCTGGCAGAGGGGCACTAACATTCTTGAAGGTGTCAGGTTGCCGGGCGGTGCCCCGAGATGTCCCAGGGCAAGCCAGGCGCTGACCATGTGGGCCTTACCTGCCAGCTCCCGCTGCTTGGGGCTTACTTTGCCCGCCGCCAGGATCATGGGCACACTGCCGAAGTAGCCATTGCTGATGCCCATGAGCAGAGAGAAGACACAGGGCCAGGCCGGGTGGCGGAGGGTAGGCGTGCCACTGGGGTAGACGCAGAGGATGAAGAGGGGGATGAAGACCACACGCAGGCAGGAGCAGGCCAGCAGGTGGGTGCCCCGCCAGTCCACGGGCAGGGCTGCCAGGATCTGTGGGGAGCCGGGCATGTGGGCCTTGCTTCCTTCCCCACACCTCCCCTCCCCTCCCCACTGCAGCATCCTACCCAGACCCCTCATTAGTAATACACAGGCCTGGCTGTGTGCCCAGCCCCCTCTAAACACTTCACATGTTCCCCTTCAACCCCCAGGTTTCCTCCAAGGGTGGGGCTCTTGGCCCTATTTGAGACTCCAAGGCCAGAGGGTCAAACCCACCTACACTTATAGCCGGAAGCAGCAAGACTAGGATCTGAACCCAGTAAGCCTCTCTCTTGAAGCAGACTCTGGCTCCTCAGACCTCTTCGCTGTGTGACCTCAGGCAAATGGCCTCCCTTCTTTGAACTTTGCATTTCACATTCATTAAGAGGTGCCCCATGTCAGGCCAGCCCAGAAAGGATAACTTTGCTCCTATTCCAACCCTCCCCCCAACCTGCCCTGCTCTCGCAGGGTCTTCTGACCCCTTTGAGGCATTTCTGGGTGACCCCACCTCCTTGGGGGTGGTAGTTCCTGCACCAGCACCTGTCCCAGGTGGGAGGAGACGCACCAGTCTCGGGGACACAGCTGATACACAGAGCTGCCCCCTGCGCCACTGCTCCCACCCTCCGGCCAGGAGCCCACACATGCCCAGCTCCAAACACCCTCTGCACCCTTCCCGCGGTTGGGGTGGGGGCTTGGGCTGGGCCCGGGTGCTCCAACACCGGTGATGGGCATCACCTCCCTCTTCCCTGAGGCTGGGGTGGCTGGGGACAGGGGCGGGGCGGGCATAGGAGGGGGGCGCACCTTGCCCACGAAGTCCGAGAGGTTGAACACCGCCATGATGAGGATGGGCAGCCACTCGCCCAGGATGCAGTGGCGGATCTCGGACTCGAGCCCGGGGAACAGGCACAGCGTGATGAAGTAGGTCACCGCGATGGACAGCATGTCGGCCCAGATGGCGCGCGCCACCACGTAGCGGTGCAGCAGCAGGGCTGTGGGCGGCAGGCGGCGGTCAGCGACCCCGGGGACCCCTGGCCCCTGCGGCCTGGACCCCACCCACGCGTGCAGATAGAAGGGGGTCCTTGCGGTGGCCGAGCCCGCTCCGCCCACCTCTAAAGGAGGGCCAGCTCCGTTTGACTCTCGGCGTAGGCACGTCGAAGCGCGTGTAGGCCCGGCCGCAGCTGCTTGTCGCCTCGTGGGCTGGGCTGTCCTTCGGGGACCCGCCGTTGGCCAGGCCGGAGCCCTGGTGCTCCTGGAAGCGGCACGGAATGGGATGGGGTTTGGCTGGAGACTAGGCCCCGCCGCCTCGCACCCCCTTCTCCTCCCTACCCCCCCCCCGCCTCTGTGGGATCCCCCTGGCCCCCTTTCACGAACAAGGACGCTGAGGGGCCCACGCAGGGACGTGAGCGCCTCCCGCCCTGGCCGCGCCGTCACACCTGCCGTCCACCTGCAGCGCAGCCGCCACCAGAGGGCGCCCCAGCCCCGGGCGCTCACCCTGCAGGTGAGGCCGGGACCACGGCGGGGGGCGGCGGCCGCCAGGGCGGGGCTCGGATAACAAGGGTCTGCAGCCTGAGGCTGCGGCCCAGGGCTGGGAGGCGTGGTGGAACCGTGCCCGGGGCTCGCGGCCTCCCTTCCCGACCTCGAGGCAGGAGCCGAGGGCCGGGCGAGCCGGCGGCAGCGTGGACTTACGAAGTGCACGTCCCCGGCCGCGACGTCGTGGTGCACGCGGTACCCGGCCCTGCGGCCCTGGCGGTCTCGGGGCCTCGCCGTGTGGTAGCGAACAAAGCGGCTGCGCCGCACTACCAGGTGCAGCAGGAAGCACAGCAGCTCCAGGCCCACGGACACCAGGAAGAAGATGAGCGTGCTGGCCCGCTCGTCAGGCAGCAGCAGCTTGGTGAGGATGCGGCTCAGCGAGATCATCACGCCCGCCGTGCCTGGGAGGGAGGGAGGGGCCTGGGCCTGCACTGTGCGCCCCCAGGGCCCTCTGCACAGCCTGCCCACACGCAGCCCCCCAGCTACTGCCACTCGCTCTCCCTGACCCAGGTCTCCGCACTCAAGCCCCCTCACTCTGCCACACCCCATCCTACTACCCCAATCAACTCCACCCCAGCCCAGCACTGCTGCCTGCGTGCACATGCCTGCACACCGGGAACATCTGCGAGTCCTGAGACACAGCCAGGCCAGGGTAGACACAGGCTCTTCCTTTCTGGGGTGCAGTGGGTACCCACACACATGTCACAGAAAAAAGCCAACTGTGCGTGGTACAGGCAAGGGGGGAAAGCACTCTAATCTCAGGGTTCAGCAGGAGCACAGGTGTGGGGGGGCATGGACTAGGGAGCAGCAGGCACAGCCCCGTGTATTCATGTAGGAGGAGGTGGAAGGAAGTGAGCGGAACCCTGAGAGCTGGCACCGCGCTCGGGCATGACAGGCCCACAGTCAGCACCTCACACCTGCGCTCTGCACACCTGCTCCCAGCATAGCCAGGCCCCTCCCTCACGGGGGTCACCCCCACGTCTCCCCAGGCCAGCATGCCCAGGGCTTGTGAGCCAGGGGACCATTCTCCAGGAAGAGGCTTCTAGAACTCAGGGTAGCCCAGCGTCCCATGTTGCGGGTGTGCAGATACTTACTCTCTCCAGTCATCACCCCCTGAGTGTACCTCTTGGGCAGCATCCCCGTGTACCCATAGAAGCTGGATTGCTGCACTTGAGAGAGAGAAAGAGAGAGAGAGAGAGAGAGAACACGGAGTGACCGTGAGACACCACTTATCGCCTGGCAGCAGGGATTGAAATTCAGAAGTTTGAGAACAACCAGTTGGTGAGGGCACAGGGGCTTTAACACTGCTGGTGGGGGTTGTATCGCCTCGCAGGGCGTGGTGGAAACAGGTGAGCTGGGCAGCCTGGGCAGCCAGTGGGCGCCCGGCCTGGCTGCCGCCTGTGGAGGAGCAGGAATGACCCGGCACTGCTGGCCCAGACAGTGAAGACCTGCACGCGCCTCCAGGCTTTCTCCAGGAGTCTCCTGCCAGCATGTGCGCTTTTGCTTTTAACAGAACAGAATAGACATGAATTCACAGCCTACGTGGAGAATATTACTTCACGGAACCTTGATTTTACTTATAAATCACACACATGTGTTTTCTGGGGCATACTGTGAAAGTATTTCTTCCTGGAAGTCATGGCCAGAAAAGTTTGAAATCTACGAAACAACCGGCCTGGCCTTTGCAAACGTCACTGCCGGGGACCGTCCCAGATCAAAGGACAGTGATGGCAGCTACCCGGTGTGCGGGCCTGGCCTGGACCCTGGACTGGAAGGAAGATGCTCCAGAGGCTGTTGTCGGGACAGCCGGTCAGGAGACAGTAGTGGGTCAACGCCACGCTCCTTGGTTTCGCTGTGACATGGTCAGAAGGCATGTCTTGGCTTTTCTAAAATATACGCTGACGTGCTGGTATTTGGGCGAGAAGTGTAGTGATGTCTACAAGTAGTTCTCGATGGTTTAAGGGGAACGCATGTTATTTTATGTTTACATATATTTAGGGCAAACATTTATACACACACGTAGTGTCTGTCCGTATGCATACAGGGGATGGAGAGAGATGGAGAGGAAGGAAGTGTATGTGGCAAAATGTGAACCGTTGGCCAAACTAGGCAAAGACGCAGGAGTCCTATTATTCCTGCAGGCTTGTCATTAGTTTATTTTCAAAATGAAAAGTTAAAAAAAAAGTTTGCAAGCTGCTGGCCAAGAGAATCGTGGGCAGGATGGTTCTGGAAGCCCATTTCATAGCAGAGGAAACGGGGAGGCTGCCCACTGTCCACGCAGGACCCCATGTATGTGGACGAGTGCACACCGGGAGGGCTCTGACACCGTGTGTGCTCAGCGCTGGAAGGCACCATGGGTGCGTGTGGGGGCGTGCATATGGATGTAGAAGGCACTGTGGTCTCCATGTGTGTGCGCGTGTGGTTTATAGTGTGTGTACATGTGGGGGGGGGCATGTGCAGCAGCAGGCACATGTGCACAAGCGCATAGTGTGTACATGTGTGTAGGGATGTGCACCTGGAGGCAGCAGGCTTTGTGGGCGTACCTGTGTGTGCACATGTAGGGGTGTGTACTTGGATGCAGCAGGCATGCGTGTATGTGTTTGGCATACACATGGATACGTGCCAGCACTGAGACCAGCTCACTGTGTAAGACGCCCTCAGCAGGAATGGGGCTGGGGGAGCATGGGCAGTCCAACCCCCAACCTGTCCCCAGTCCCTACCTGTGCAGCCAAAGGCCACGGTGCCCACAGCAGCCAGGTTGATGGCATAAGCCTGGTCTCGAGAGAAGAGTTGCAGCCACACGTCACAGACACTGATGAAGAGGAGCGGGCCCAAGGCTAAGAGGTAGCCTGTAGGGGAGAGACAGACAGAGGGTAGTGAGGGGTAGTCTGAGGGTTCCTCCTCATCCTGGGTCTGAGGTGGTCTCTCCACCCTTTCCCTTACTGCTGGAACACTTTAAAGGCCTACACGGGACACCAGAAGGCTTCCTGGAGGAGGTGCCATGTGAGCAGGGCCAGGAAGAGGAACGGGGAAAGAAGAGCACCCTGGGCTGAGGGAAGAGCCTGGGCCCAGGGACGCCGTGTGGGGCACACAGGTGCCCCCAGCGTTGGGTTTCTAGTGTGCAGTGGACGCACACGCCCACCGTGGGCCTGGCCCTGTTTTCATACATCATCCCCCACAGGCTTCCTAGGAGGCGTGCCCACTGTGCAGACGAGGGCAGGTGCAGGGGCTGGGGCGCAGGGGCGTGCCTACCTGCCGTGATCCTGGTGTGCAGGCTCAGTCTCTCCACCAGCGCGTTGTTCAGGAGCACGGCTGCCAGCGCCACCAAGATGTAGGTGAGGCTCATGTCGAACACTATCGAGGTCCCTGCAGTGGTGGGTGGCCAGCAGCAGGTGCTCAGCAGAGCACCCCAACCTTCCACCCTTCCCCTGTCAAGTGTGGCCTCCTGGCTCCGCCCAAGAGGGCTGCCGGCCTGGAATGGGCTGCCCCCGAGGTCAGCACTTCCCAGCTGAGCTGGTTCCCGAACCAAGTCCTGCCTGTGGGGGTATGTGGGGGCAGCGGGCAGAGCTGGGCAGCCTGTGAGGAAAGGGGTGACCGTGGGGACCCACCTGGGTACTTGTGGTGCAGGTAGTCCACATCGGTGATGAAGCTGTTGTAGGGCAGCAGGAACCCAACGCCTGCCAGTAGCATTGCAAAGTAGATGGCATGGTAGCGGTCGTCGGGCACCGGCTCCTCAGCCGCTAAAGCCAGAGACACCAGGTGAGAAGTGGGCAAGCCCGTGCCAGGCCACTGAACCAGGGCCGTGGCACCACCCACCACTGGCCACCAGAGTGCCTACCACCATGGCCACTGCCACCCTGACGACAGACATGGCATCCCATCATCCCAGGCCCCTGCTCACCTGTCACTACCACCAGAACCACTGGGACCTGGGCGGCCAACATGACCATCGCCATGGCCACTGCCCCCAAATCCAAACCACCAAAGCTGTCATGACTATGACTGCTGTCCTTGACAACGGCCACAGATGCCCCTGTCACTGGGATCAAGAATTAATCAAAAGTTGTCAGACTCCATGGCCACTACCACCACATCCACTGTCCCCCCAAACCACTGCCACTGTAACACCAGCGTCATCGTCTCCAAGGTGTTCATCCACCCCCGCAGCAGGTGCCCACGCCACTGCATCATGCTGATCATCGTCACTGTCACAGCCACTGTGTCACCTGCAGACTCGAGCTGTGGTCACCCGGCATCACAGCCACTGTCGCCACGGCCACAGATGCCCCAGTCACTGCAATCACAGCTGCTGCGGACACCAAGGCCCTGCCCACCCCCCAGAGGCCACCCCCCAGAGGTCACCAGACACCACCCTATGGCCACTGAAGCAGGGGCTTGACAGATGGTGGGAGGCCTTGTGCTTGTTCTTAACCTGCCTCTGCCCTTTTATTTTCCCCACGATCCCTCCTGTAACCTCGTCCCTTCCCCCCCAACTCCTCCCTCGTAACCTCAGAGCCCTCAGTGCCCACTGATGCCCACGGGTTTCTGTAAGCATCTGACGTTATCAAACTAGTATGTAAACATTTGTTTTTGTCATTCTGACTTGCTTTACTGCACTTAATTCCCTCAGGCGCCCTCCATTTTACTGCCCCCTCCATTTTACTGCAAGGAGGGTGCGTTTATCTTCCCTCTCGGCTGAACGGTTTTCACCAGTGTGGCCAGACCACGTTCTTGGTCTAGTCACCTGCTGATGGACATCCAGGCTGCTGGAGGGGCCTTCTGAAAACTCGGCTACGGAGCCAGCCGGCTGGCGAGGCCTCGTGGGGCCGAGACCTCGGGATACGTCAGAGTCCGCCTCGGGGCTGACGCCACCGTGGTCGGCACGTGTACACCAGCACTGCAGAGCGCGGTGGGGGGCACTCACTGGAGCCTTCGAGGCCCACTAGTGACATGCCTGCCTCTGCCTGACGACGCAGGGCTGTTGTGCTGTTCTGGCGCATGAGCATAGCTCAACGGGAGAAAGCTTCTGCTCCGAGAACAGTGATTCTGCAGACCTGGGAGCTGAGACCGTGCCAGGCCCTTTCTCGGCCTCACGTCCTGAATCAACAGGCAGAGAAGAGGCCACTGTCCTGGCTGTGCTGATGGACTTGGTTGCTACTATGCGTGGGAAGAGGAGTGTCTGAGGTACAGGGGACCCCCGTGCACCTCTCAGGACTTGCACGCACTGTCGATGGACTGCCGCAGCCACCCAATCCCGCAGAACCGCCAGCGGTGCAGGCCCCTGCTAAGGAGCCAAGGCTGAAGGGCTTAAGGACAGCCAAGAGGAGCGAAAGGACAGTATGCAGATGCCAGCTACACCCACAGGCCAGTCACGGAGAAGATGCGGTTGTTATGGGTGCTTCTTCCTTATTTTGATATGAGTATGTGCGTGCAAATGTGTTCGCCAAATATTTGTTTTACTCGCTCATTCCCTTGTCATCCACCAGAAGGTGTGCTCACAACAGCTGACTTTACATCTCGGGATTTAGGTTGCAGATATCAGAGGAGAGGCATGATCAGCAGGGCTGAAGTGTGACTGGCCGTAAAGGGATTAGCCATCTCAGCCCTGAGTGTCTTTATCTGGAGATCAAGTGTAGTTTAAGGAGCTTGTGTGAGAGCCACATTGATCAGCGGTGCACTGTGATGGTCAATTTTATGGGTCAGTTTGGCAGGTTGTATGACAGTCCCCAGATATTCCAACAGACCCAGGTGTTGCTGGGAAGGGATTTGGCAGATTAAAGTCCCTCTTTAATCAACTCTAAATTAGTCAAAAGGGAAATGACCCTTGGTGGGCCTGACCTAGTCAGGTGAGGCTTGATTATGCGCTCCCCAGAGCGTAGAAACACTCAAATAGCTCAGGCCTATGGGTCCTGCCTGTTTGCTTCTTCCCTCCTGACTGTCTGCTTCAAGGAATCCAGCCTCCACTCGAGTAAGCCGATATCCTGTAATAAATCCACATGTACACATATATCTATATCAGCCCTACAACTTTGTCGCTATCGCTGTCAATTTACTATCTTTACTATCTCCTTATATGTCTCCTGGCTCTGTTTCTCTGGCTGAAACTTGATTCATCTAGCTGCTGTCACCAATGCTGCGAAGTTAGAATCCTCACTGCCCAGCCACCGTGGCTACCCTCCATTTCTTTGGCCACGGCAGCGCAGCCACTGCCACATGACTGGCTTTGGCCAATGGATGTGACCAAAGTGACATGTCTTACATACGGGACAGAGCGTGACTGGCCTGTGCCCTTCTCCTGGAAGGTGATCCTGGAAGCCCACATTAACACAGAGCCTCCTCACCTGCTCATTCACAGGGGTCCTGTGACCCACACTGGACACTAGATCAGGGTGGGGGCACTGAGAAAGTGGGGCTGCTTGTTACAGTGGCAGCTCTAATCCATCTGAGAGATGGGTAGCCCGTGTCAATGACCCAAGCTCGTCCCTCCCTGAAGGCCCCCGGGGACACCCAGGGCCAGTCTCTGTCTGCTTTGGGGGAGACACACTTTGTCTGCACCCTCACTCACCAGTATCTGTGAAAACCGGGATGCTCCTGGTCCTACAGCCCTGGCCATGAGCAGCCCCTGCTGCCTCGTCCTCCAGCTGACCACTGTCGAAGCTGAAGCTCATCACCACACTCCTGTCGGGTGTCCCCGCCATGCTGGGCTCCTTGAGGCGCTGGCTTCCCACGGTGCCCATGGCAGCCTCTGCTTGGAGAAAAGAGGAAGCAGGCTGAGGGGGCAGAAGGAGGAGACCTGGCACATGCTGTAACCCCGGGCGGGGGGCAGTCACTCTGTTCATTCCACCCACTTGGAAACAGGAGAACACAACCCGACCCAGCAGTGTGGAGCACAAGATTTGTGTCTGAAGCAGCTCACCTGGCTGCAGTGAGGAGCAATGATGGAGGGCTGCCTGAGGGTGGTGGCAAGGGGACTTGGAGTGATGTAAATGGAGCAGAGAAATACTGTAGAGGTGGAAGGCAAGGACCTGATGAGCAGTCAGAACAACAGACGACACACTGGACACGGTGCCAGCACTGTGCCCTGTGGCCCACTCTCCATAGCCCTCTGAGGAGGTGTCATTCACTTTACAGCCCAGGAAAGTGGGGGTTAGAAGGTAAACTCCCGGGCCGCCCCTGGTGGCGCAGTGCATGAGCACTGGGCTGTGAAGCTGCCTGCAGCCTCTGCAGTGCTGGTTCGATCCCGGCTGCCGCTGAGGATCCCACATGGTGCGCAGACCTCTCCTGCCATGCCCGCTGCTCCCCTCAGCAGTGTATTTCGTCAGTCTGCCTGTTCTGTTCCCCACTCTGGCTCTGGTGAATTCTCTCACCCTCCCGCGCTTCTGACTGTACCCAGTGCATGTATAAATAAATAAATCAATCTTAAAAAAAAAAGGAGGTAAACTCCCATCCCTCCCTGCCATGTTGGCAGGGGATACGGGCCAGGGGAGACCAGACCCAAACCCAGCCCAGTGGGACACTGATCCACCACCCCTTCATTCTGCGGCCAACCACCTTTACCGGCAGGAAGTTCTTCCTTTTGTCTTGCCTCAGTTTCTCCTGCTTCAGTTCAAGTCCGCCAGCCCTTATCATTGGAGGAAAGGAAGGCGCGCTGGAAAGACGCCTCCACTCTGAAGGTAACCTCTGTGTGTGTGTGTGAGGGGAGGGCCTAGCGATTTTCTCTAAAACGTTCATCAATTTGTTTTTCTAATGACCTTTATTCATTTATCTGATTACAATAAAGGACACACACTCGTCTGAGTCTCATTTCCTTCAGCTCTCCTGCTTCATTTACCCCCTCCCAGAGGAGCTGTATAGAGCAGTGACCAGGCACCTCCTCCTGGTCCCGGCCCCCTTTCGTAGCTCTTCATAGAAAGGCTTCCCGGCACTCCGCCTGTCCTGGGAACTGGGGGCATCCTGCCCCTGCCCACTGGGCACTGACCCCACCGACAGGCTCCCAGGAGCAGTGAGGAGGGGCAGGGCTGGGGAGCAGTGCCGCCCCCTGCAGGCTGGGTGCTCTGCCTGAGTGCCTCCAGCCCTGGCCCCTCCAGCCACATCTGGAGCTGGGGACTTTTCAGTCCCCAGCTTAGTTAGGACAGAGTTAGTTAGCCCAGTTAGGACAGAGCTGGACGTGGGCTTGAACGACAGTGGCTTTGGGGGAGCAACGTGCAATGTGGGCTTGGGGACTCTCAGACCCCACCCTTCTCTGGGGACAGGGCCAGCGGCCTAGAAGGGAAGCAGCCGACAGTAACACCCCTCCCTCCAATCTGCTCAGGACTGAGCCCAGCCTGCAGGACGGCTGTACCCCAGCCCCCTGCTGGTGCTCAGCAGAGGTTCCTGAGCTGCTGGGCTGACAGGCCAGCTTGGCTAAGAGGCCTGGCTCCACGGCTCCCTCTGGCTGAGTCGTGAGGCAGGCAGCTGCCACCCAGAGCACCTCCCTCAGCCACTGTCCCCATGTGCTCCTCCAGGCTGGGGGGGCTGCTCTGGCCCCAAGGCCCCTAGACAGGAACTTACAGCACCATGAAGAGCTTTGCCTGCCCCTTTAATTAAAATGTAAGAACATGCACACAGGGTTAAAAATCCTACTTGTGCACAGCCAGCCCCATGCCGGGACCCTCTGCCTGCCCTGGGGAGCAGCTGAGAAGACACAGGGCATCTCTAGCCATCAGCTACCAGTCCCTGCCTCAAGGGACCCATATCTGGGCTTCAGTTTCCTCACTTCCCTCCAGCAGACAGAGAGCACTCGGCAAGAGGGGAGGGTGACCTGAGGGAGGGAGGTTCACAAGGAAGGCTCGGCAGCACACAGGAGTGCGCCATATCACACATGCCACCACTCTGGGCACCACTCTAGGCCTGGAGAGAACACCCCACTCAGCAGTCCTGAAAGTAGGGTTCATGCCCCCACTTTGCAGAAAAGCAACTGAGGTAGAGAGGACAAGTGCAGGGTCATGCAGCGCCTGCCGGAGGCCCTGCCAGCTGGCTATCTCTGGCTCCCCCCATTCCCCTGCGACTGAGTAGACAGTGGTTCTGAGTGCTCCCCCACGGCATTATGGAGGTGCTGGCTCCCAAGGCCAGGGGGACCCCTCCTCAGGGGGTGCGCCATCTCCACCGCAGCCTTCCACGCAGGTCAGGGGGGACAGGGAACCTGAAGTCTACTTAGAGAGTCCGACTGGGGCCTCCTCAGACCTCACGCTCCTTGTGGCCACAGGTCCTGGCAGCTGGATGCCCTTGGGTGGCCCTGGCCCCTGTGCCTAGGTCCCCACCCCACCCCCTGAGCTCTCTGTGGCTCTGTCCGGCCAGCATTCCAGACTGCCCCAACTTCTCCCAGTTGGCTCTGCCCACAGGAAGGTGGGTTTCATGACCCTCGGGTACCCCCTTCTGCCACCCCTGGAGGACAGAAGAACATAAGGGCCACTGGCACAGGGTGGTGGCAGAGGGACCCACCCTTCCCAGGGTCTTGGCTCCCGCGGTTCCCACGCACTCTGCTGAGCCCCCACCCCCAACTCCTTCAGCCCCTGGCCCTTCAGCAACAAGGAGGGTCCGCACACCTGCGCCCAGGGCAGAGGGCGGACTCCTCTGGCCACCGGAGGTGACCCTGGAGCACAGGCCCCACCTCTGCCAGCAGCTTCCCCAAGAACTAGGATGGGACGCGCGGGGGTAGGGGTGGGAAGCGGCGCGGGGGTTCCAGAGAGGAACTTCAGCTGGTGTGACCCTTAGGATGCTGGGGGTGGAGGCGGCCCCAAGCCCCACGCGGCCGGGGCCACGCAGCTCTCCTTTTCCCCGGTCTGGGTCTGGGTCCTGCGCTCGCAGATGGAGAACGTGGGTCTGGCCCGCGGGGGTGCCGGGCGGCGCGGGGGTGGGAGGCCCCTCTTCCCAGGACGGGGGTGGGCGGGGTGGGGTGACTCGGGGTCCGCAGGGTCGAGCGCCCCGTCCCTGATTCGGCGGTGAGAGCCGGCGCGGAGGAGGGGGGCGCAGAGTGGGGCCGCGCGCGCCGCAGACAAAGGCTCCGACAGGTCCCCGCGCCCCGGCCGGTGTCCGCCCCGCCCGCCGCCTCCCGGGGACCGCTCACCTCGGCCCGGCCCGGCCGGGGGTCCTGGCCGCTCCCGGCCCCGCTCGCGCCGCGCGGCCCCCGCGCCGGGACCCCTGGCGCCGCGCCCCGTACCCCGCGCCTCGGGCCGGGCGCGGCCGCGTCCTTCGCGGGTCCCGGGTCCGCCGGGCGGGCAGCGAGGGCGCGCGGGGGGCGCAGCGGCGGCAGCGCCAGCACAGCCTGGGGCCACCGCGCTCCGCCCCGGCCCGCCCCCCGCGCGGAGCCCCGCCCCGTCCGCCCCCCCTTCCCCCCGCCGTCGCCCCATCGGCTGCGCCCGCAGAGGCCCGGGCCGGCCAGGAGGGAGTCACCGTCCCGGACGCCCCAGGCTGGTGGCGCCCGGCGACCCCCGGGGCGAGCCCGCGCTCCCGTGCCCCTGCCTTGCTGGGGTGCCCGGACCCGCACCCCACATCCCCTCCCCGCCCCGTGGCGGGTGGGACACATCGCGGGGGGCCAGGAGCCCACCCGGGTCCTGGCATCGGAAATGAGCCAGGAAGGGGGAGGTGGCCCTCGCGGACCATCCCTGCTTGACCCCCGGGTGAGAGCAGATGCCCGGGCGGGAGTCTGACGCCCCCGGGGCCCCCCGTGCGGCCGCCCCTGGAGTCAGGAGAGCCTCTCCCCAGCTGCACCCAGCCCCCTCGCTGGCTCTCTTTGGGGTGTCTGCCAGCGCACGTGCCGGCCCCTTCCTGCCCTGCCCTCACTTTCCCCCAGACCGGCGCCTCCTGCCTTGCCATCAGGCCCCAGCTGCAGCCTGGAGACCCAGAGGCGCCCCTCCGGGAGCTGTGCTCGGCACCCCTTTCCCCTGGCCCCTCTTCTGAAGGACAGAAGTCCCTGAAAATAAGGGCTGGCTTCCTCCCTCCCCTCCCCCGTGTGCTCAGGGGTGCGCTTGCATCCAGGAGGAGCCCACGTTTGCCTGGGGGTGGGGGGCTGAAGTGGCAGCTCAGCAAGGATGTGTTGAGGCAGGCACCGTGAGGGTGTGGGGAGGGAGGCTGCGCCCCTGCCCCTCGTGGGCTGGGCTGGGCTGGGCTGGGGAGAGGGCCACCGGCTCCCGTCATTCATCTTAAAGTTAGTGAGGCCGCTGCTCCCCAGGCTCTAGAGCTCCCAGAGGAGGCCTTGGCAGTGCAGGAAACCCTGCCGAGTGGTCCTGGTGGACATAAAATTATTTTGTGTGTGTGTGAGGCCCTGTTCTAGGGGTAGGGTCACCACGGGGCTTCTGGCCGTAGCCCCATCGTTCATGGAAGCCGCCAGTGCCTGGGAGGTGGGGAGAGAGAGATGAGGGCATGCTTGCCCCCCCCCCCCCCCCCCCCCCCCCCCCCGGCCAGGGAGGGCACTCTGCGGAGGCAACACTGGCGCTGGGGGACCAGAGTGAGGGAAAGGACCGGGTGGGGGTGCTGGGTAGGGATGTTCTGGAGGGGGAACAGCTCGAGCCCGGGGCCAGAGAAAGCTCCTGAGTATACTGGAGAACAGAAAGGAAGCTGGTGTGTGTGAGGGGAACAGTAGGGTTCATTTCTGCTGGGACCTGAAGTTGGGCCTGGACAGAAACCAGCCCTAGAGGGATCTGCTTGGACCCAAGAAGGCACAGGGACCCGTGGAGTGTTTTGTCGAGGGGGAAGTGGGATTTGATTTAAAAACCTAGGTTTTAAAACCTAGGTTGTTGATGGGAGAGAGAACTGAAACAATCTCTGGAAAGTAAATTGGCCTAAAAACATGCTTACCCTTTGATCCAGAAAATCTAGCCTAAGGAAACAATTCTAAATATAGAAAAGACTTTCGAGACAAAGATATTCGTCATAATAGTCAAATATTGCCAGTGGCTCAATTACCCAGAAAGAGTATATGTGTAAGTGGTATTCACAGTGGTGATAGTTATATTTGAAAACCAGTGGAGTGAGGTGTAACTCTGCAGAGAGATCTTCAGCGACTACCAGGCCGGAAGCCTCTCGGGCGGTGTGGATACTGGCAGCGAGAAAGCCCTAAGGGACACAGACAGGCAAGGGGAAGAAATGCATG